ATGTTTTCTACCTAATTTTTTAATACTAGAATCCAAGCTCTTCTAGTAACAAAATGTCTGCACTGCAAGCTTTGCTTCTCGTGGTTTCTATCTTCTAACAACCTTAGTGCATTTAAGGTGTTGTCTGCATTTACAGCAACGTACTGTGTGCTACTGTATACTAATTGGTTGGGTGGCTTTGAATATTAATTAATAAATCTGATCATTCAACAACTATAAACTGACCTTTGGAATAAGGCGAACAAGCTTATGAGCTTTGCTTTCCTATCTTACCTACTACGAGCTGTAACTAGCCTGTCCTTCACTTGTGGCTCTGATGGGTGCAGTACGCAGGTAAATTCTTTGTTTTAATTTGAACTTAAATACCAAATATGTATCTGCTTAGCCTAACTTGAACGCAGCGTAAGAGGCTTCTTCCTCTGTATGTTCTTCAGAGGAAATAGTCATCCTTGTGGAAGGATTAAAAGCTGCTTTGTAAGTATGGAAAGCAACTGCTGATTTTACTCAGGTTTGAGAGTAAAGCATGTAGTACCTTCAAACACTCAGATCTAGCATAGTGTTAGTAGTACTACCCTGTATGACTAGGTCTGGAAATGATTTGGTTTGGAGGGGATAGTAGGAGGTAAAGCATGTTGTAGCTATCATCTGTGGTTGTGCTCACACAGTGTTGGTCCTTTTTTGATGCACTTATTATAGTTTATTCTCATAAGCTGTTACAGAGGTGACATGCAGTGTATTTGCCTTGGATGAAAGGCAGTAAACAACTAGAATTCTAGCCTAAAGCTCACCTTTGTGTATGATGAGACTTTCTTGAGGTTTAGCTCTGTAGTTAGTATAGGGAGAAGTTCTGGCTAGCTATTCTGGAACTTCAGTAAGGAAGCTGCCCGAATCATGGCAATTACTGAATGAACATCCTATCTTTTCCATTGTGGCTCACCCTGTCAGTGTGATCCCTGTGATAAGCTTTGTCTGAAAGGCAGCATGCACTTCACGTGTGCGACCTGTCCTAGTAGTAGCATCTCTCCAGGTTTGACTGATTATTTTTTTTTTTTTAATAGCTCTTATGCTGCTGAACACGGTCCAAAATTGCTAATTATAAAAGCAATGCCAAATTTGGATTAATTGGATGTCATCGTTAGACAAATAATGGTTTTACAAAACACGGAAACAAGCCTTCATGCAGGAAGTTATCTTCCTCATTGGCAGTACTGTCCTCTTAGGTGCTTTGTGAGGGAAACTTTTAGCTGCATAGAGGAGCAAGATCTATTCCTTTCTGTCATCTCACATTTGAGCCATTTACAATGCTTACTTAGGAGTAATTCTGCCTTAAATTAAGTGGTGTTGTGGGGATTTTTCTATCCTACTGTATCTCAAAAAAATTTCCAGTGCAGTACAGGGCCAACAAAGCAATGACAAAAAATGAAGTATCCTGTATTTTCTTGTCCAAATTCAGGGAAACAATGTAATTAAATGTTGTAGAATTCGATTATGCTACTGGTACGAATACTTCCTTTTAAAGAAGCTTTTTTGTTATTCGTAGTGTTAGATGCCATATGTTGAATAGAGCTCCTACAAGGTCTGGTTATCCCAAGGCTTGGCTGTGATGTGCTTGGAGCAATGTCACTGAGCACAGCCCCTGCAGCAGCTCCCTGCAGGACAGACTTCGAGGGTGAGTTTCTGTAGAAGTCCTCTGAGCCGTGTTGCCGGGTGGGCCGGGCCCTTGTTCGGCTTGGCTGTCCTGGCACGTGTGCTGCCTGGATGCGGACACTGGAACGCTAACATCCTTAGCAAGAAGGAGTAGGGCTGTAACTGCTCTGAACGCCGGACGGAAGCGTCGCGCCTACCTCTGCCTCGGAGCCGCCGCCGTGCTCGGTGCGGTCACCCATCCGCGGGCGCACCGAGCAGCACCCGCTTAGCCGCGGCCACACCCGGACACCGGCCGCTTCCGGCCACACAGGCAGCCGCGCCCGCCCCGTCGGCGGCACCCAACCCGCGGAGTCCCCGCCCTTCGCCCCGCCCCTCTGCACCACGTGACCTGCGTTCCACCGGACCCGCGGAGATGTCGGCGGCGCTCTCGCGAGAAGTGACGGAAGCCTGCGGGGGACCCGGCCTTTCATGTGCGGCGCGGCCCGCGTTCCCGGGTGAGTTTGTAAACAGGAGCGCGGCGCGGCCGGGAGAGGCGCCGGCCGCGCCCGGGTCTGGGCCGCGGGGAGCGCCCCGAGGGCGGAAGGGAGGGAGCGACCCCGCCGAGCGGTAGGCGGGGGTTCCCTGGAGGCGGTAACATGGCGCCGCGGCTCCGCGCCGCCGCAGCCCCCTCCCCCAACGCGGCCTGAGGCTCCCGCCGCCCCTAGAGCCGGGTGGGAGGGCGCCGGCGCCGCCGCAGGTAGGGCCCGAGCGGGCGGGGGCGGCGGGGCGGAGGCTGCGCCGGCTTTCCCCTCTCCTGCGGCGGCCCCGGGCTCGGCCTGAGCCCCGGCCCCGAGGGGTGGGCATCTGCGCGTCCGTTCGCGGCTCCGGGGGGGGCCTTGGGCTCAGCGGTGGGGAGGGGGGCGAGCGGCTCTTGTGCGGGCGGTGCCGCGGCCTGTGCCTCCGGGGTTATCCTAATGAAAGGGCACCGGAGGTGTCAGCGGATTAAAAACAAGCGGCACGGCGCGGGCCTTCAGGCACTGATGGCTGCACGGTGTTTTGGGCACAGATGTTCGTGCCCCCGTGCCGTGTGATTGTGGGTTTGGGGTACGGGTGGCATCGTGCAGCTTTGTTTGTGCTGCAGTCTTCCCGCACCCCGGTGTTAGGTGGGGGTTCCATCGGCGTGTTTCCTTCTCTTCAAATAAAGGTGCTGTAACTTGCTTCATAGTGGGATAAAATACTCTACTAGAGCAGGAAATTGTGAATCATCCGCTGCTTTGCAAACAGCTAATGCGAAGTGAATTTTCTCCCACCTCTCCTTTCTCTTGTGCCTTTTACAATGTCTTTGTTGTCACCTTGTCATGCTGTACTCAGAGCTGTGAATCTCTTCTCTCAAGCTCTTGCTGAGTGTAAAGTCACATAGACTTGATTAAAACACAAGAAAAGACAAAAAGATAAAAAGGAAAAAAGCAAGTGTGCCTGAAGTTAGGGTTGAGTAACCGCTGTGAGTGCATTAGATGCTCCGTTCAACTTTGGATCATAGGATGAGGAAAACTTTGTGGTTCTTCATTTCCAGTGTGGTAGACGTGTCTTCAGGCTCCTAATGAACCATCAGTTATTCTCTGTTAATGAAAGCCTGGTTACAGGCATCACTTCAGAGGCACAAACTAGTGGTGTTCACTTGGATTCTCTTTTACTTACTTGCCAATTGAAGCCTTATTGAAAAAAAAAACACAAAAAAACCCAGCAGCTTTGTCATAAACTGCTTTTTATCATGCATCTAAAGAAATAAATTTAAAAAAACTTTGTGTGCACATGGGGTGAAGTTGCTTTCCAAAAAACTCAGTGATGAGTTTGTTTTGCAGTTGATAGTGCATGCTGACACCTAAGCAGCTAGTTGGGTCTTTGATCTTTTTCTGTGTGTAGTCGGATTTCCATCCTCACTTGAATTTTAGAAATACAAACATTGGTACATCTTTTTCCAGAAGATTCTTAACTGTGCAGTGTAAAACAGAAAGTGCTTTTGGGTCCTGAATTAATCATGCATAACTTGATGAATAATTTTTGTTTTCATGCTACTTCTCTTGTGTTTTTGTGACAGCATTGAGCAGACTGAAATAAGGTATTCTTTTAATCTTATTAATTGGGGCCATCTACTGCCCGAAATTTCTTTCATCAGCTATTCTTTCTTTCCCCCCCACCATCAATTTTTTTAAACTTACGAATGCATGTTTAAAGCTCCGAGAAACTTTACAAACATTCAAAATTTCTCTTATTTTTGCAACATTTAAAAATGATTTGGAATTTCTGTATTAAAATAATGCACTGACTGTTTTTAGAGGAGTAAACATGATTCAGTAGCATTAACTTCTCTCTGTAATAATGAATAGACTTCAAGTTATCATGTCCTGCATAACTTAAGTGCGTTTGTTTCAAATCAATAGTGTGCACTCTGAGACCCTGAATGTAGCTAGTGATAGAAATACAAGTCGATACTTTATAACTATGCAATAGCTCATATTTTTGTTTCAAGTTGGTGCTGCACTGTATCTGATTGATTTTTTGTGTCAGTTGCTGTTCAGCAGGAGCTCGACCTCAGAACTTTTCTATTAGCTCTAGTTCAGACTGGAGATTGTCTTGGGTAAGTTAATGGGAACAATGTAGCGTGTTTCCATTTCTGGGTGAATGCCAGTGGTCATTTACCTTGTTGCTTATAGGAAAAAAATACATCACTGTTTTAATGAGCTATGAGAGTGCTTCAGTGGTGTAGTCCTTGGTATATTTAAGGATGTTAGACCAAACCCTTAATTATTGTGTGCAGTTAGGTACCCAAAGGATACGATCTGTAAAAATGGAGTACCTTTGTTAAGATTTTTTTTTTTAATTTGCTGAAAATAAAGTTGCAAAAACTAGATTTATAATGTCTGTTAGGTGATGGACAGTATTAAAGCTTTCACACTTAGGTAATTGAGCTGGTGAAGGCGTAAAAGCTAATATCTTGCTAAACAAGTTGCAGAAAGATCTGGGGAATATTAATTCCTATTTATTTCCTTTCTGAGGGTTCCCTGACTTTCTACTTGTCTGTAAGAGCTGTATTTACATAGCACAAGCTTCCACTAATCCAAGCCCTCTGAGAAATATCCAAGCCAGGCAGCTGAAGTTGGAGCTGTTGTATTCAGCCAGCAGGAATTGTTAGGTCTAGTCGTGTCTCTTTTATTCCATCAGTGCTCCTGGTTTACCAGAATTGTCCTTTCTTATGCAAAAAGCTTGCTCCTTCTTCAAAACCAAAGTAACTTCATTTGTTTGTTTCCGTGCATGTGACTAGCTGGCCAGTGGATTTCTTGTTCTCATTTGAGATTGTTAAGTCAATCATCTTCACTTCTCACACATTTTTCCTTTTATCCAGATGTTCTCCCTCTTAGTTATTTGAATTGAATTCTATACCTTCCTCAGTTTGTCTTAGATATCAGATATAGACAGGTAACTGGCAGCGTCAACATTAGGCCTGTTTTTAAAAGAAGAAACATTATTGCAACAGGCATTGCCTTCTTCCTCCCCAGAACTCTCTGAAAGAGACCCCGTGACTTCAAGGAAGTGGAACAACCGCTCTATTAAGCAGTAGAGTGGCAGTATTGAAGAAGGAGCTCCCGTTTTCCTCTTGGCCAGTTCTTGAGGTTCGCATCCTTTAAAAACTTGGCACTACAGTCTGTGGTTATCTTCCAGAATCTACTGATTCTGTTACAGAATCTGCTTGCTAGTGATTCTATTTCCTTTTTAAGGAGGATTGGTTTTTTATATTTTTTTTTTTCCGATTTTTTCCTCCTTCAGTCTGTTCATTTTTCAGCTTTCGTTTGTTAGAAATGTTAAATTCTGTGGTGGCATGACAGAAATGCAGTCAGTCAGAACGCTTCTGAAAGTGGTCTGTAATGGTGAATATTAATTACACCACTTCTGCTTCACTTTTCTTTTTTTGCATACAGGAAACTGAAAAGAAAAAAAAAGAAGTTGTTCCAGTCCTTCTAGGTAAGTGAAGTGATGGCTTTTATTCTAAAATCCAAATGCTGACTTTTAACTTTTTACTAAGTGGTAAATTCTACACAAAAACTTTTGGTTTCTCCTGAAAGCAAAATTTGCAAGTCTGAGTGCCCCTGTAGGAAATTTTAGAACTTAGTATTAAACATTAGAGATGATTAAGATATATGGAATTTGATGCTGTTGTCAGGTATCAAAAGTATAAGAAGAACCTGTTGTTTATTTTGATTTGCATTGACTTGCTTGGCTGCATGAGAGCCAGCTCTTTTAATTTTGCAGTTAAGTTTGGAAAAGAAAAACAACTATTTCTTTTTTTATCTAAAGAAGCATCTCTACTAAAATTTTTGTGTAGGCCAAGCAAATTATTAAATTCTCTCTTCAATACCTGTTCAGAGAATGTTATTATTTAATGCATGAATAAAGTCAGTCCACTTGACCTTAAATGCAAACAAGGAGATGAAGAACTTACACACCTCAAGTAGAACTCATGAGTCGATAAAGACTTTGATAATTTTTGCCCTTGCTCTTTTATGCTTCACTTTTCTTTTATAGGAACTTTAAAGTAAGATCTTAAAAGCCTAATGTGAAAGCAATTACTACGATGAGATCTACATTAAAGGCTACTAAGAGTTAATAACTCTATATACAGTCAGAGTTTATTGTGCGATAAAAAGGGGTGCAATCCCAGATCAAATGTAAAGAATAAGAAGAAATGTTTAGTGTGCGTGATTAGTCTTGAGAAAATGCGAACATCTGTAGGAAAATACATCTCTGATGCTTTGACTTAAGCACTTTGTGAGGTACGCACTTAGGAGATCCTTAATGCTGATAGGCTACCATAACTCTACTTCGTGACAAAAGCCCAGTTTGTGTTTTATCCCACTTTCTCATTTGTTTTGAACAAGAATGTATAGCTGTTTCTTGAGATGGAGCCGTATGCAAGGGTCACCAAGCTGCAAGACTTGGGTTTGCAACACATGCAAGCAATGGTAGATCAGTCAGCTCTTACAGTAGCTGGTAGGCTCAGATTGTCCTCTGTGGGCTGTCCAATTGAGGAATGGGTTGACGCCTGCCAGAATGTGCGTTTCTTCTTGCTTTCTGCACAGCAGAGGAATTGTGAAGTAGCGTTGTTGGTTTTTTTGCCTACCAGATTTTGTTTGTTTACAGTTGTCTTCTCAGCAGATCCTATCTTAGATTCACTTTAAGGTGTCTTCTTCCATGCTGTTTGTGTCAGCTTTGAAATTGCAAGTGAGCAGTCTATTGCTACAGGGTTTAGAATAAGAAATTGCAGGGTAAGTTTGCATAGCTGATGAGCAAATAAGGGCATAAGAGTCTTTTGGCATCCAGCGTGCTTGGTAATGTTGAGAGGCTTTAGCAGCAGCAAGTCTGACAAATCTTTATAGACATGTGTGAATGACTTTGCTCAGCAAATTTGGAGGTATTTTTGCAGGGATTGTTAATGTACATGTATACATTTTAAACAACTATTTAAATGTTTAATAGAAAAAAATTGAATTGAGGTGTCAGCTGAGATTTCCGTGCTTCTGCTGTATGGGGGAATTAAGAGAGAAAACAAAAGAACCTTTACCACGAAAATAAGCCATCGAGACATTGATCAAGTCTGTGGTTGCCTTTTCTTACAAGCTGTCTACAGGAAGGTATTTTACAGGCAAGCTTCAGAAGAAGCAGTAATAGCTTCTTGAAAGTGTACTTGAGGTATTTACTTGAAACCTGATTAAAAATATACAAATGATTGTTGAAGCTGTTTTGTGACGTTTAGATTAATCCTGGTTTGATGTTTTATGGGAACACCGTTATTTTTTAAATAAGCACGCTGTCAGTGCTTATTTAGATGTCAGTAAATTATTTGTAAATGCTACTGTACTTATTTTGCTTTATATTAAATGCATTTTAACCAATTGTATTTATTTACAAGTATATAATTTACTTCATTGCTTGCTTTCCAGAAGTGATGAGACTTAGGACATTTAAGTGCTTTCACACCATTCTGGTTTATCTTTGTGTTGAAATGTGGAGCAAATGAACAGCAAAAATGAGAGATTGTATTGTGATTCAAGTTGTCTGTACTGCTGAGATTATTTGATGCTGTTCCCATGTTCATCTCTGATACTGTTTCTCCCTGAGAATTAGGCTGAGAATCTACAGGTTTCTCTGTCTTTCTGAGAGAAGGCAGGGTAGCAAGGCTTGTAGAAGAATGTTGTACTTCAGTGGACTATAATAAGAATTCTTTAATTGGAGTATTTGGTTCATCTGAAGAATTAAAGTTGAAGCTGGAGGTTCAAATTCAAATTGAATCACTTCAAGAGCTGTCTTCTTTTTTTCTATGCGACAAGGTTTTTTTGCTTGTTACCTGGCTAGCAAACAAAAGTGCCTATAATTCATCTCTGGCCATTAGGTTTGAAGCTTACATACTTTATTTCTCATTGTGTTGGATGGGGAACATTTTTGTCAAGATGGCATGTAGGATTATTCTTTTGGTATTCAGGGAGAACGTATTTTTTTAATTCTTTTTTTTGTTGTGGTGTTCTCTCTTAGAGCAGTCAGTTTCCAATAGCCTTTTGAAACCAGAGCACGCAAAAATGCAGAAGAAAGAGAGGAGGCAGGCAAAGGATGTTTTTTTGTGTTGGTTTTTGTTGATGTCTGTTTGTTTCATGTTTGTTTGTTTTAGCATAGCATCTACAGTTTCAGGTGGTGGGCCATAAACTTAACTACCTGGAGTTTTCTAAAGCTGTTCCAAAGATGTTGAGTCTCATTCTTTTGTTGTACACTACCAAGAATCTGAATCTGTTCTCTCTATAGTGGCACAGTAGGTAGCATTAGAAGGAAAGTAGATTTTTCCTTAGCCTTCCTTTTCTAGGCTGGACAGCTTTGGCTCCTTTTTACTGTTCTTGAATGTAATAATCCAGCCCCATAAGTGTTTTGGTGGGCCCCTACCGGTTTCTCTTCGAGTTGGTTATCTTTTTTGTTTTGAGGGCTCAAAACTGGACACAGTACTCCAGCTGCAGCTCCCTGAATGCCAAGTGAAGGAGAACAGTCACTTCCCTTGATCTGCTTGCTATGCTTTTTCTAATTCAGCCCAGTGTGCTGGTAGCTTTTGGTGCTGCAAGTGATTTGCTGATGAATTGTATTCAGTTTGTTGTCCACCAGGAGATCCAAGTTCTGCCCCAAGGCTGCTTGACAATCATTTGGCCCTCAGCCTGCAGTGTAGCATGGAATAATTTTGTTCTAGGTGTGAGCTTTGCATTTGTCTCTGTAATAGGTAAATACAATCCTTACTGGTGTGGCTAGACTAATGAATGTGAGCCCTTTGTTTTCCCATCCTGTCAGATCTGGTTTCTGTTTAGATTTATAATGTCCAAGGTCTTGCTGGAATGGGTGAGTGAACTTCTTTTCTCTTTTAAGTTCCAAAAATTTAGCACTTCAAGAGACTTTTTTTTTTTCTTTAGATGTTAGTTGGAATCTCTTTACAAGGCATTATCTCTCAGAATGCCTTGTAGTTTGCAAACAAGTAACAGAAAGTTCAGAATATGAATTTGTTTTCAATTTCTCTCCATGAAGTTATTGAAGAGGACACCACTTTGTTTTCTTTTTCTTTATAAGCAGGGTGTCAAAAATTTCAGGCTTCCCAAAACGTGCTTCCTAAAATGTGAAACCTGGTGACTGCTTAATATGCAAATGCATATTTTGGTAATATTCCTTTAAAAGAGTCAATGGGCAGACAGGAAAAAAATTAATCTTTACAGTTTATGACCTAAGGGAAAAAAAATGCTAACAGTGTGGGTGTAGTAGATTTTTTGTGACTAATACTGTGCACTTTCAAAGATTCGTGTAAGCTGTATTAACAGTTAGAGTGTTGTGTGTGCCCCTTGGTTGATCAAAATCTTCGTCTTTTAGGAGAAAAATAATACACCTTTGGTTTGTTAAAGAAATAACTTTTTGTTTATAATATGTAATTGTGTGTATATTGCAGTTGCATTTAAGTATGTGCTGCCTCACGATCAAGATTTAACAAAGCTAATTCCTTTTGAGACCTAAAGGAGTCTGTCCCTGCCTGTATGAACCCATAATAAAAACATCTGCTTTACGAAGCTGAACAAAGGTACGGTGTTCAGGGGGATGACCTCTCAGTGTCTATCTAAATTCCAGATAATATAAAGGTGGAATCCTAAGGCTTCATTGAGAACAACCTTAGTCATGAAGCCTAAGTCGTGAATGTTGAACTTGCCCATGAAATTCTTAATACTCTTTAATGTTGATAGTACCATGTTCACAGTTGTAACAGTGCAATAAATATTTCACCTCTTCAGAACCTTGAGGCAGGTAATGAATTCTTTGCAAAGACTGGTGGAGCAGTCTCTCTCCTTGATTTGCTTTGGCATCTTGTCTGTAGGACATAAATGTTTCCCTGAGTTGTCAGTGCCAAGGAATCTGAAGGTTCTGGCAGCCATTCGTCTCTTCTTGGCTTGTGATCTCAGTCTCAGAATCCTCATTCTGTTGAATGTATATATTTAGAAGTGACACTGGAATCTCTCTTTCTCTCTCTCCAAGATTTGCTTCTTTGCTATTTGGTGCCCATAGCCAAGGACACTGGGCTCTCCTCCTTAAAGTAATATCCAAAATTTTATGCAGTACTTTTTACTGTTCATCTTAGGCAAAAGGATCAGATAATGTGTCCTCTACACATACAAATTTCTCAGGTATTATGTCTTAGATGATTTGCTTAGGCTTACTTGAACTGCTTTGTCTCTAGTGGTAAATGGTATTCTTAAGATAGTTAAGCAGCCTCCGAAGCCTTGCACCTTTTCATCTCTCCCCCTGAAGACATATTTATTCATCAAACCAAGCACAGGTTGGAACTAACATTGTTAGATACTTATATAAATATCCATACTTAAAGATGAATGTGTTTCCTTTTGGGGGGGAACCCACAGAGGGGCTAACAGGGCTTGTCATCTCCTGGCTAGTTAGCTGCATTGGTGCTTTCTTTTCTTTTTTTTTTTCTTCTCCTCCTGTTACTTGAACTTAAAATGAGATAACTTCAATAATGGGATTAGTTGCTCATCACTTATCTCTGATGTGACAATATAATGTTTTTACGTGTGCATTGTCCCTGAACTGTTGTTATTTTGAGTCACTGATGTTACAGCATCCACGTACAGATCTTGTGCACTGTCCAACACAGGTTGGCCCAATCCCATCAGTGTCCCTTCTTCCCAAAGTAGAGCGATACCACCTTGCCTGTTGAGAAATGTAGTTGAGAAATGTACTCTCTCTTATCCCACCCAGTTGTGTTCTTCCCTAACACAGAACACAATCAGAGCAGACATACCATGCCAGTGGATTAATTTTGGTTTGCTAGAACCAGAAAGGAAGAGGTTGAAGCAAAAGTTTGTGCTAAGGACCAATAGCCAGGAAAACATAAAAAGTAGCCGAGCCCAGAATGAACTTGAGAGAACTTCCAGCCAAATGGTTCAGGAGCAGAGAGTTCATAATGATGAGATGAAGGACTGTTATACCTGCTGTCCACAGCTTATCAGATTTACCTTGAGCACATTTTCTAGTAAGTTAATACAGCATTGTTGAATTATATTTCTTATATATATTATTATCTTATATATATTATTGTTGAATTATAATTCTTCTTTGTACTGGTATCATGAAAGATTCAAGTAGATGACCACACTTATTTCCAAGTATGGGGTAGAAATGTCTTGCTCTTAGCAAGGTGGAAAGGAGTATCTGACAGCAGATCTGTCTGAAATTGTTTCCCTTGCTCTGATGTGAGTGCAAACAATGTGTTTCTCTTTATACTCTTTACCTAAAGCTTCACTGCATACTTTAGAATACCTTATCTTAGAGCATCTGAAATATGAAGATCATCTTTGCTTATTTGAAGAAAAAAAATGTATTGCATGCCTCCAGCTATGAAAAAATTAATTGGAAAAAATGTTAGTTCTTCAGTATTTTAATTCTCCTCAGCAAGTCTCTGAAACTATTAGGATTTTTGTAGCTTTAAGGTTAATTTGTGGACTGATTTTTCTTTTAGTGTTGGGAGTTCTCACTTAAAAAATAGAGGATTCTGGGTTTGTTTTTTTTACAAGAAAAATACCAATCATGAAGTTTGTCCAAAAAATTTAATTGTAGAAGCAGCTTTTAATGTCTGAGAGAAGTAAAATTAAAGAAGTGGATCTGTTGAGGTAAACGATTCCTTTGGCGAAGCTGTAGTGTTTTTTGTTTGAGTTATAAAGGATGGACGTTATATCATGTATCTTTACAAAATCGTGGTTTATTGTATACTTAACAAGCATGGTAATTAATATCTTCTTTCAATTACAGTTCATTGCCATGAAAAGGAGGATATGATAGTTTGCCCTATGAAACAGATTTATGTGTGAAATCTGACAGGTACGTGTTTCAGCATGCTTGATGAGGAAGCAAAACAGCATAAAATAGAAGTGTGCATTAATTGTTTCTTAAATATTTTTTAGCTTCCTGGTGATTCAGTTATATAGCTGAGATGTTATTAAAGTATATGTGTGTTTTGCAGTTATGTTTTTAAAAGAGTCCATAATGGGCTATGTGGTAGCTTTGCTTTGAGTGAGGAAAAAAAAAAAATAGATGATTATGAAAAAGTTTAGGTGATTATGAAAAAAACTATCTAACCAACCACTTTCATTTGTTGGCACTCAGTCCTCATTATTTGTCTGCTGCTTTGTTCTTTTCTTGGCGGGGGTGGAAGGAATTGGGTAATTATTACAAGATATTTTTGTTTCAGAAACAAATGGTCTTACTGTGTTTTCACAAATGTTTTGCAATTGGTGACATTACGTACAAACACTTGTCTTTCCAACTGAGTTGCACATTTAAAATCTGTCTCAATTTGATTTTGGCTGCAAACTTAGAGAGTTTGTAGTCCAGATGCTACTCGTATGCTGGGAATTTAGATTCTTAGTGCTGTTAGAAGGCAGAAGTTCTTGCTTGTAGAATATTAAAATTTCCCATGGATGTTGATATATTGATAATTTGTTGCAGTGTTTGTAAAATGCTTCCCACTGTCATTTTAATACAGGTAGCACAACGACCTGTGGAATATGAGTGATGACAAACCCTTTTTATGCACTGCCCCTGGATGTGGCCAGGTAATGGTCTGACTTAAGTTATTAACAGTGATTGAGTAAAAGTAAAACAGTGAAACATGTTTCCAGAGAATGAAGAGAAAAAACTTAATTGGTAGGAAGTACCCATCTTTCCAGTTCTGCTGAAAAGCTGGTGGCAGCAAGAATTTCTAGCATTTAAATTCTCAGTTTATTCAGAAAAATACTAACCATATAATGAAGACAATTTCCTTTTTTGCCCACTCTTACTTGTTTTCATGAAAAAATGTGTGCAATAGTTGTACAGGTAACCTACATTTTTCAGTGTATTTCAACATTAATGAGGAGCTCACAGTGAGACTTGCAGGATTTGTGTTTAGTAGCACTAAATGAGCAGAAAACAATAACAAAAAAATAGTTAATGAATGCTTTAATACATGGTCACTTAAAATTTGTCTTACCACTTTCAATTCAGTAACCTGAAAATGAGTGAGTTTACATTATCTGCTGCGTGAGGTTGACATTCCTGCTGCCTTTGTATAGAACCAATTCCTTAAACTGGCTGCATTTTTTTTTTTTCCATTCTAGTGATGCACTTGAATTGATTTGATTTTGAGGTCAAAATATTTTCATTCTTGTTCTGAAAACATAGCTTTTTATGATGACTGACAGCATAAATGTTACATTAATGAAGCATTTTGTATTTAGAGTGGGAAAGGACTCAGATTTCTTACCATGTCTTGTATGTTCAGAGACATCAGAATTAGTAGAAGTTGAATACCTTCTTCTAAGCAACATGTTTGTCCCCATCCTGTCTGAATCCAATTTTGATGTAAGCTGTCAGAACTAAATCTCACAGAAGATGCATCGTGGGGCTACAACAATCCTTTATTCAAGTGAAGGAGGAAAGTGAAATTTGTGTCTCAGAGAATGGGCAAAGCTTCTCCAGATGCCAGATCATGCTGTAGAATAGAGATCCTGTTCCTTCCAAATAAGTCTGTGTCATGTAGTAGGACGTAGAGGTGTGTTTGAGTTGTAGTGTGATAGAATAATAGTATCCCTGCCTTAGGGTGTATCTAGAGATAAGACACGGGAGCTGTGGATAGTGGCATTTGGAACCCTTGGCAAGCAGAGTCCTAACAGAAGAGCCTGGCCTGTATTACACTGTTTTTCAGTAATCTCGCATTTTTAAATCTCTCGACTCCACGTATGCGTGTTCCTTCTCACATAAATATTCTAAAGACAATGCTTGGAGGTCAGTTAAGCTTTCTGTATGGTTTTCTGAGAGATGGTGCTTGGTGGGTATTTCTTGCAAGTTATATGTGGAGTGACTTAAGTGATTGGGGAAAAATCAGAAATGTTATGGATGAAGTTTTTCACTTGGAGAATGGTGACGCACTGGAACAGGTTGCCCAGAGAGGCTGTGGATGCCCCATCCCTGGAGGCGTTCAAGGCCAGGCTGGATGTGGCTCTGGGCAGCCTGGTCTGGTGGTTGGTGACTCTGCCCACAGCAGGACGGTTGAAACTAGATGATCTTTGAGGTCCTTTTCAACTCAGGCCATTCTATGTGGGCTCCAGATATTCACAAAGAAAAGTAAGAATTAGAATATTTCATTGAATGTAGAAAGAGACATTTTGGGAAGACTTTTCTTAGATTATCTCAGCTGAATCACTATCTTTATTCGCAATCAAAAAGGCATAGCAAGTTTCAAGTTAAAAATATATATATATATATTGTACAGTACATAGTTTGTCTGCTTGCTGCTTCCTTCATAGAGTGTACGTTAAATTGTGGAAGAGTATGCAAAACACTGCTGGGATACTTCTGAAAAGTTGGGAGCATTTTAAATGCTGATAAGTTTTAATAATTTACAGCCTTTCAGTGGTTTGATGATAGAGCAGTATTTCCCATTCCGTCTGCTTCATGTTAGATGGTAACCTGTAAGGGGCAGGAGTTACATTTTATTCAGTTATTACACTATTAAATACAGTAAGTCTGTGTTTGTGATTACAGATCAGTTCTCATGATTGTGATAAACCAAACAATAATATCGAATAGTGATGATTGCTAAACATTGCCAAGATCTGTTAGCATAGACAATGGCTGTTTGCTAATGGTGGGTGGAGTCTGCAGTACTCTGAAATGTTATGGTGGACTTTTGATGACTGCAGGTACTTACACTGCCATTTTGCTGATGTTGTTGCTGTTTGGGTACTGTGAACATTATTTGAGTTTTGTCATATTTTTGCTGGTACTGTTGACCAACAAAGTAAGATATTCCAAAGAGTTGTCTATTAACTTAGTAACAACTGTTTTACGTGTTATGAAAGTGACTTTCTGTAGAACTGTATTTACTGTATTTGTATTCAAAATTACGTTTCTTAACATTTTCTGCCGCAGCGTTTTACCAATGAGGATCATTTGGCTGTCCATAAACATAAACATGAGATGACACTGAAATTTGGTCCGGCTCGTAATGACAGTGTCATCGTGGCTGGTTAGTATAGAATTTCATAACTAGTTTGTTCATTTTTTCTGGTGGAATGTGCATTCATTTTGGTCTGTTTTCTGTACTTAATGAGTAGATGTGCGTTGTGAGACTGAAATATTTTCTTCATTGTAGTCGTCTGCAAAGTGTTTTGTAAATGCTTTCCTGTATTATTAAATTTTCTTAAAATCTGCTTTTTAACTTTTATTTAGATCTGATACATGATAAATTTTTTTCCGGATATCAATACTTTAATAATTGATTAAACTGTGTAGTAAGTGTTCAGTAAGAACCAACACTAATAAAGGCTGTGCCTAACAGGTCTGTCACTAGGTTGTACCGTATTTGAGACATACAGTTTAATTGGGATTGCTTGTCCCTGAAATTTAAAATATGTTATGTTTTTACGTGCTGTGATGACATTAGGAGAGTGAGTTAGTAACTGCAAGGAAGATAACAATAATTATTTGAAGTGTTTTTAAATTCCAACTACTGTTATTGTATTTCCACCTCTGAATTCATGGTGGTAAGTAACTTTTTTGTTTGTTCAGGCTCAGAAGTAATCACCAAGGGATCATAATGTACTTTAAAGCTCTTCAATGAAGACAGCACGTGCCAATTGCAAAGTTACAGTCAGAACATTTTTTCGGTGGTAGAACAGTGTAAATGGATGTTGAGAAGACTTTCAGACATTTACAGAGTATCTTTGTTTTAAGAAGCTAACTTACTAGGATGTGGAGACAAAAAGAAGTTACTGTTGCAATGGCAGTTACATTTTGATATTCTAGACACAGTTCTCAACTATTAAACCATAAGAAAGAAGGCCTGTCCCTGATCAGGTGTGTGAGAACGAAACTGCGATGCCATTCTGTCTCTTTGCAACTACATTTCAGTACGTGAACTGTAGTTATAACTGCTTGGTTACATTAGTGAAGATGTACATAATAATACTAATGGTATTTCAGATGAAGTTACTTTGTAACAAATGACCCAGTGACAGTAGTGAAATAGAGGAATTTACATAGTAAATTTATAGAAAACCTCTTTTGGGACTGCCTCAGGCAGTAGTAAGCAGGGTGCCTGAAGTCTTAGAACTGCAGCTCAATTCTACAATTAGAAGATCCAGTGAAGTCTTTTGTACAATAACATATCTCCTGTTATCGTGTTTCACACACTTGGAATTGATTACTCTCATTTTCACAACATTAGAAGAAAGAAAGAAATGTCTGTGAGCTGTGAATGCACTTTTTAAAAAAATTAAAGCCTTTATGTAGGTCTTGCCTTTGAAACTAGAGGCTGCTAGCTCACCAAAGTGATGTGCTATAGTTGACTGGCTCTTGAGAAAAACTCCCTGTGGTTGATGGACGTGGACAGAAGAAATCTTTGGTATCCTTCCAGCGCTGTAAGGGGTTAGCAGTCTGCAAACTTGAACTACTTGTCTCCAGCAGGTGGAGTATGCCTTGTGGCTGGTTTTCCTGCAGGACGGAAAGGAGCCTGCTTTCAAGGCATAACAGTGTTTTTAACCACATCATCTATTCCTTTCCCTCATCTGTATTTTTCAGAATGAAACAGTTTCCTCTGTTTCTAATCAAGAGTCTAGTTTTCTATGAAAATGACAGTGTTGGCTTACAAAAATCAAGCATATTAATGTAAATCCCTTATGTTGCTATGTTTTGTAATGCAACTGCTTTTTATTAATATCTGTGTGGTGCTGGCTGGCAAGGAATGAGAAGATAATTCTGTCTGAAATGAGCAAATTCTGTGAAAGGCTGATAGGAAAAAAGAGCTGCTGTACAGTTACAACCATGAGATTTTGGGTTTATACTCCATTCCCAATAGATGCACCAAAATACTTGGTATCAAAGCACTTCTTTGGCCATTCTTTTTGTTGTGTGCTGCATCTTTTGAGAGTGTTACTAGAGTATACATGATCAGAAAATCAGCACAAATCTTTAAGGTTTTGTTCTTTTAACCAGTCTTCAAAATAAATACTTAATTAACAGTTAACAGGCAACTGACTAAGAGCATCCTAAACATACAAAAATACCCTTGCTTTTCATGTATTTAGTTTTCTGAACAAAAGGGAAGTAATTTTGAAGTTAATTGCTAAATGGCTTGAAGTATTAATACGTTCATCAACTATAAAGCTAGTTAAAGTAAATAACCCCATTGGTATCATCTTTATGTAGGCAAAATGCAGATTTCTTAAATGTATAAATTTCCTTGGTATCATATCGATTTTAAGTTAGAAGAAATCCTTTGTAGCATAAAACTCACTGAGGCTTATGAATAGTTATCTGAATAAATTCAGATTTTTTTGAATGTAATTTAGTTAGCCTAGGCTAGTTTTTAGTAAAAGTTGTGTGTTTTTATAATTACAAATCAATATCTTGATATTTAGGTGCTGTCTCCTTTTACTTTGAAAATTATTTACAAAGTGTGTGTTCTCAAATAGTATTTTAAAAGTAAAATTGTGTGGTTTGTGTAAACTTAATTTCAGATCAGACACCAACACCAACTAGATTCTTGAAGAACTGTGAAGAAGTTGGCTTATTCAATGAATTAGCAAGCCCTTTTGAAAATGAGTTTAAAAAGGCTTCTGAAGATGACATTAAGAAAGTAAGTTCATATAAATTTTCTTTTCAGTCCTGCTGTTCAATTGAGAAAAGCAAACCTGAGTTTATATGTTGTCTTTTAAACTATACCAGAAGTTGTTGGCCAGCTGCCCATGTATAATCTTCTATGGGGAGAATACAGAGGTTAAGATTACTTTTCTGCAGGTTAGTTTACGTGAGAAGAATGGGCAGTGGAACGCACTGATTTTGTCTGAATTCTTTAAGTATCTTGCCTGTGTATCTGTTGAAGTTCACCATTAGCTTGATTGAAATTTCATTAGGCTCCAAATAATTTCTAAAAGTCTGAAAATTAATGAATTTTGCAGAAAGACATTTGAGAAGAAAGAAGTGAAAACAATAGTATTAAATACTCTAACAATTCAGCACAACCACTAAATTTGGAAATGTCAGTAATTCGATAACAATTGTGTTTGCTTTGTCAGTTAAATAATCTTTTTTACCTAGAAATTACTGATCACAACCTAAACATCTGCATTGCTTTTTTTTTACAGTACACTAAAATCTAAGCAGAATTTACAGTTTCTATTCAGCATTTAATGTTCTTTCGTGAGGAACTGTCCTTAAGTTTAAACATGCTTTCTCCTATTTCTTCTATATCTTGCTAGCCCTAACTAGTTTAGGGCCCAAATGTATAAACACTTCTGCAAATGAAAATTTTTATTGTGTCCCCTTTGAATGATTTTACCTTTGCCTGATTGTATGCTTTAACTTCCACAGACAGTGACATTAAAAATTAAGTAAAGTCTCTTTTATACACATGTATGTAGACTTTACAGAATCAGTGTCTGGTTACTCTCTGTTTCAGTAAAGATTTTAGTAGGCTCTTGTGAACAGGACTCATTTCTGCGTGTTCTTGATGAAAACTCACCTTTGCTTTGAGCTCAAAACTGTGCCAAATCTTTTTTAATTGGTGCGCAGTAACTTTCTTAAAATCATGTGAATGATAAAACAAATTCTGTTTTTGATTCTGACTTGACTATCTTTGTAATTCACCACTTTCTTGGAGGAGGTTACAGTTATTGCAGAGTATTTAAAACATTTCAACAACTTTTAAAATTGATAATTGTTTTCCAAGCTGACAAGAAGAAACACAGTTGTGCTGCATATCTTTGATAACATAAATAAACAAGAATGGCAAGGGGTAGAAAAAATTACCCTGATAGCAATTCTTCCTAAGGATTTTTTAAAATAGTTTTTCTTTTTCCGTAGTGTTTCACATTCAGCTGTAATGTGCAAAAAGGTTCCATCTTTAGCAATTTTCCCTTCTTTTTAATAACCTATTCAGTAAAAAAAATAAAAATGAAATAGAAAAAAAGCACCCAGAAGAATAATAATGGAATATGAGCTCTGGGGGAACTCTCTTTCAGATGTGTTTGGACAACAGGTTAGATGGTAGTACGGGTTTTCGAGTCAATACGCTGCTTTAAGTATTTTTATAACTGAATTTCTTTGCAGCATTTCAGATGTTCTGGTGGACTTTATGTGTGTAGCAATATAAAACTTTTTCAGTAATTATTATCTGCGCCAAGTTTGAAATGACAACTCCATCCATCATAGCTTTTTTTCTACTCTGAAAATGAAGTTAAGATTTTACACTTAGCGGAGTGTGATGTCATTTATAGAGGGATTGTATCGTAAGTGTAGCCTTTAAGTTTAGTGCTGTCCTTCCTCAATTATAACTCTCCTGTGAATCTTGGGAAAGAAGAACTTCAGAAGAGTGTTTAATCTGGCAATGGAAATTGAAGCACAAAGTCTTAGTGAAAATTGGTGTTTATACAGATGCTGGAAAAAGTAGGCTTGACTGCTGACACATCTGCATCAAGATCTTCAAACATCAGCACCTCACTGTTATTATTATAATAAAGCTAATATTTCTCCTTAGATGCTTGTATTTTCTTACATATTTTTTTAGTGATTTTTTTTTTACACTATTACATTTAGATGCCTCTAGATCTGTCTCCTCTTGCAACACCAATTATAAGAAACAAAATTGAAGAACCTTCTGTTGTGGAGACAACTCATCAAGATAGTCCTTTACCTCATCCAGAGTCTACAACCAATGATGAAAAGGTCAGGATTGTTTTTTATTATTGGAATTCGTTATCTAAATCTTCTGATGGTCTTTAGGCTACTTGTACATGTTGATACCCATCCTACTTAACTGGCTGAAAGTAAAAGACTTTGTTAGCCGCATTTTCTGGATACATACTTAATTTGTTCAATTCTTTAGTTAGCTTTGCTCAGCACAATTTTCTATTTGCCTCACACTGATCGTTCAGTAAAACTACAAAGGAAATCAGATTTAGTACTGCTGCTGTGTTAAAAAAGTCTTAACTGGGCTCTTTATCCTTTTTTTATGCATCATCAGACAGTAGTCCTGAAAAAGCAAATGAAGTGTAGCTTGAGACTCTCCGTGTGTACGTTTTTGTGTTTATTCTGTGTTTTCTCATGAATTGTTTTGTGCAGCAGCATGGGGTGTTCCATAAAAATGTACAGGGGTCAAATGGGTGGTCTTTCAAAATTAAGCAGGAAAACTGTATTTCAAAATCCATACCCTTTCAGCTATATCAGTATGTTTAAAAACAGTGATGTGGGGCAGTTGCTTGTTTAGTGTTTACCTGAAGGCTGGATTTGTGAGGTATTGTCTGTCTCAAGAGAATGTTGTAATTAAATCCATTTCAGAACTACTGCTCTGGCAGTACTAAAAAGAGATAGTTTGATAATAAGATTGATACGTAACTTGCAGTGTTTTCATCATATGAAGTTCTCTTGGAGAGCATGAAATTGAGCAAAATTAATGAAATGAATTAATTATTTAATCAAGTAGGAATGGAAATAAAAATATAAGGAGGAAAGCATAGTAAGCAACCTGGTTGCTATACTCAGGTTTTCTATGCGCATCACTGGCGGGCAGTCTGCATTTGAGGGACTTAAATAGCTTGTTTCCAAAAATTAGTGGACTTATTTGGGATTATGAGATAATTCATATTGAAAGGGACCGTAAGGCATTTTTATTCCAACTTCCTGCTCAAAGCAGAGTTTAGATCTGAGACCAGACCAAGAGACTCAGGACTTGATGCAGTCCAACCTTGAAACTTCCAGGAAGGGAGAATGCACAATGTCTCTGCTTAATACATTCCAGTGCTAGACTGTCCTTGTGAAGGTAATGTTATTCTTTGTATCCAGCTTACCTCTTCCACTTGCACCACTTCTCTTATCCTCCCAACAGACAGTGTACGTGACAGAAAGTCAAGAGAGTTCCAGTAGAGAATTGTCTTCAGAAGGCTATGCTGAGTTTTATAAATTAGGAAAGATGAGTAATTGTGCTTATCGAAGCAATCATGTAGTCAAAAATAGTAAAACTGGTTTAGAAGAATACACATAAGAGCTGCTTTGATCAAGCATATCATTGTCCAAATCTTAAATCTTCTTCTTTATTACATAGTTTGGAGAGGTTAGTTTGTTTTTGTCTGCAAATAATTATTCTAAGTGCTCAAGTCTTGGCAGGAGAAAATATTAACGTCTTATTTTACAGTAGTGGGTGGTTCAGTATCTCATTAGCATCATTACAAGTGCAAATTGTATCTAAATGCCTGGCAGTGCTTATAAACTTATTCATTATGTAATTTCAGTGTTGTCACTGTAACAGTGCTGAAGTGAAAAGCTGCTGCAGCTTAATGTTGTTTTGATGTCTGATTGTAGAGACAAGCTGAGCAAGGATGAGGGTGCTGCTTGGGATGTGCTGCTGCTGAATGTGGCCTGCAGAAGTTGAGAAATGTGAGCAGAGTGTTGCTGTTTTCTCAGTTAGATTTTTATATTCTCCTTCTATAGGTGTGTTGAAGGAGGGAAGGTTTGTTGCTTTTCTTCAGGGCATAGCTGGTTTTAAAATTATTATTTTATTAAATTATGCCATCGTAACCATCCCCTTGGCTGAATATGTTTTAGTAGTCTTAAACGGTCACAGTTAATGTATGTGGAAGGAGGTTCTCATTTTCTTTGTAGTTGTCAAAGGAATTTCTTAGGCACTCTTGAAAATTATGCTTCATCCTATTTTTAGTATTCTAGGAGAGTTTTCTTAGTTCCACGAAGCTTCAGTAGCAGTTGTTATTCTATGTAGAATAGACTAAGATACCATTATAAGTACTTAAAGCCTTTTAGCCATAAAATAATAAGCAAATAAAGGTTAACTTCTTATTTCAGAGTTTCCAAGCTCATTATAGTTTCTTATTAACGATATTTTAGAAGGAGACCCTCAACAGAGTTTCTCAAGTTGTTCTTCTTGTTGTTGACAGGTAGCTAATTCCCTAAACTAATTATTTCAAAGCCATTTGTTTTCTTAGTGTTAATCAATTACGGCAATAGTTCTGGCCATCTGCCTTTCTGTATAAAGAATTCCAAGTGTTCATTGATTGTATCAGAAAGTTTTTTGCATGATATTTGCTTTTAGAGTCAAAATACTTGCAAATATGCAAGTATTGAAAACAAATGTAAAAATGTAATTATCATCCTCTGTAAAATGTTTTCTGAACTTCAGTGGTTTTTAGTTTCAAGAATAAAAGGATGGGAGAGGTCCTTTCAATAAATCTTCAGTATCTTTGAATAGACTTAAACTTCTTTTTCTTGTACAGGTGGGTAAAATCTCTTAAGGTCGTGATTCTGCCAATTTATCTTTTTTTATTTTTTTTGTCCTTGTTCTTTGGCAGAATTTACAGACTACCCTATTTTAGACAAAATTTACACTTCATAAGAGCAATTCTTTGGCTAGTGAGTATCTTTATTGGAGTGGCGTGCCTGTGGGTTTTTATATGTTGCTAAAATGACAGTTTCTTGTAGATCTAATGCATCTCCAGCTTACATTATTGCAGCATTGTTTAAGTAATTAGCACGTTTATGTTTTCCAGAGTTAATGTGTGTTAGTGTGAGAAGAGGAAATTGAAAATACTTTGTTTTCAACTGAATAAACATGTTATTCTTTGAATGTTTGGTGATCATTTCTGTTCTTCTAAACAAAGCACCGTATTTAAGATAGGCTGTATTTAATAGAGTTGTGTTCACATGAGGTTTCTGTTCTCAGAATTTCATAGAATTAAGTTATGTTACTAGATTGATCTTTGGTTGCTGAAATACATTTACCATGGAGTACTTGGTGTGAAAGTTGCAAATTACCTTTCTCCAGGTAGAGACTCCAGGAAGAGATTCAGTTTATAGTCAATCTTTATTAGGACCTCAACAGTTAAGCTGTTATCAATAGCCAATGTTCACACAGTGCTGTAACTTACAGCATTGCATAGTTGAAGCTGAAGTTGGGAGGCCAGTCTCAGCTGCTTGCTCATAAGTGGAAGGTTGTAGTGATGGAAGGTTAGGTGGCTGTTTGGCAAGTCTTTTAGGGGGTCCGTTCTTTCATCAAGCCCATATCATCCTGTAGTCTTTGCTCATAGCAGCCACCAAGTTTGTGGACATTACCTGAATCATACAGCATGTTGACATGGGTGCTGTGCACACCCCGGTGACCATGTGCAGATTCAGCTGCTCTTCTGAGTTTATCCATTCTTACAAATTCATCAGGACTGTTTTTCTCTGGAGCTTATCAGTTTTTCACATGCTGCCTTTGAGCACGTTTCTCTCCTTAGACCGTTGTTTTCTAGAGCTATTGCCCCATCTGTTCACACAGGTACTTAAAAAAACTCCCCCAGACCTGTTGCATTGCCGTGGGGGGGTCACGCAGTTGCTGACAACACAGACCCATACAGAAAAGGGTCTGTTCTGGCAGTACTGTTAATGAGAAGGTATGAATATCTGCACGAGTGCGTTTTTGTCTTAAAGTTGTAACACACCATGGCTCTGTGGCTGTAGCTACCTGCTTGTTATTTTTCACGTTTTTTTAGAAAATAGTATTACTCTGTCATGGGTATTCATTCTGTGGTGCTCATATACCTGCATTTATATTTATATGTGTATATATTTGTGGTTGCTGTATATGAAGATGTTTCTGGTGAAAAAGCAAAAAAAAAAAACAACAACCCAAGCCTCTTAAAGCTGTTGGTTCTGCTACATATGGCAAAGATTCCTGTGTTCGAGTCCTACGGTAGGAATAGACTTTGTGGTGACTCTGCTAACCTACTTGGTTGCAGTAACAATGCTGGTAGTAGTGGCAAGCAGCAGGTAGGAGAAAATGAAACAGAAACAAGTGAAGAATGGCACAATGCTATATTTTCAGTTAACTCTTGCTAGATTCAGGGCAAATGTTCTCCCCTTCTGCCTTCCTCTAATTTCTTACAGTCAAGAAGCTAGTCTGCTTTCTGTGGCTCTTCTCAGAGAGTAAGATCTGCACAGCTGTTACATCAAACTCCTCATTTGTGAAGAAGTGTTCACTGTCCTAAGAATATGCTTCTTCCTATTTCTTTTCTTTTTCTGTAATTCCATACTGCACTTCTGTTTTCTTTGGGCACTCGTCCATAACCTTAGGTACTGTGTTCAAGTTTTATAATGTATCATTTCACTAGATTGATATTGATGCTAAAAAAAAAAAAAAAAAAAAAAAAATTATGTATTGTTGTCTTCCTTGCTGTTTTTCTGTTGTTCTCCTGAAACTCTCTCACCGTGAATAGGCTCTTTTAGGTCCCTTGGGGAAAAAGATGAATGAACTAATGAACCCTGATGTCAAATCTAGCCTGTCAACTTTGAAGGGGAGGAAAATTCAGTATCTGAAGTCCTTTTTTTTTTTTAAAGCCCACATTTTGCTAGCCCATATACAATTCTATAAAGTACTTGTATGCTTATTTTCCAGGGAATGTACACAAAAAAACCAAAAACAAACAAAAAAACTAAGATGGCTAACACACGGTACTTCAAGCTTTGTTAATAAATATTAACAACTTGAGTTGAATTCTCATCAATACAGCTTGTGTGATATCTGTGTGAGAAGTTCTATTTGAAATAATGTCTCACAGCAGAGCAACTAAAATAAGCTGATCTCAAGAGTGTGGCTTTGTGCCCTGGACTGTAGAGTTAGTGTGAAAATACCAAATAACTTCAAAAAAATCCCATGTAAAGACAATCTGAAGTCTGACCATATGAAAGCTTTCCTGAGAAGGAAGGCACTGGTTTTGGTAAGGCATTTCTGGTTTCCCTGGGTTCCTTGTACTATGTTGCACCTCATAATGTGTGCTTCCTGATTGCTAAGCTAAGAATTGCAGTGAGGTTTGTCTGTTACCTAGTTGTAGCCAGGAAATTCAATTCGTGTGCTCAGATCCTTTGTGTCAGGACATCCAAATATTTGTCATAGCTCTCCATGTAACATTCCAGGGAGCTGTTACTGCATAACGCTCTACTTATAAAGCATATATAAGTCACGTATGAAGGAGCATAAATTGTTTTTTTTTCTTTTTTCTAGAAAATAAACCTATTTTGTTTTTGTTTAAAGATGATACAATAGCTGAATTTGAAATGTTCGTAAGAACACCATGGAATGTTTCATTTGTTGTGGGTGCAATGGTGCAGATAGCGCCAGTGAGTTTCTTGCTATAAAAATATTTAACTAATAATTAGATTTGATCGGATATTAATTGTAACTTTATCATAAATAGAGCCAAGATTGGTCATAAAACTAAAATAACGCTAGTATTTCATTTTTGTGATTAAAATAATTAATCCAAAGATTTTTAATTTTTTTTTTAAATGTACAACTGATTCTTCTTGCTGATTCTGATGCTAGAGAACTTCTGATACGTTCTTTTAAATTAAATTCCTTTTATGATCTGAATTCATGGTGCATAACTGTATTTTTCAAACTGATTTGGTTTCTCCTCAGGAAGTGTCACTGCAGCAGACTGCACAGCCCACATCAACGATAGTTCGTCCAGCATCGCTACAGGTTCCTAACGTTCTACTTACGAGTTCTGACTCCAGCGTTATTATTCAGCAGGCAATACCGTCACCAACGTCCAGTACTGTTATTACCCAGGCTCCATCCTCTAACAGACCAATAGTGTAAGTTACATAAAACTTGGTGTAATGCTTTCTTACAGATTCTAGAAAGATTGTCTTGCTAACTGTCAGTTACTGTTTCTTTGGTTATTATACAACTTTGAGACGGTTGGGTGAAAGTGGTGCTTCTCTACATGTGAAATACTATTCCGTGTATATGTATGAGGTTGTTCTCTTCTCTGGATAAGTTTTTTCTAATACATGTAATTCCTTTTTCAGTCCAGTTCCAGGCCCGTTTCCACTGCTGTTACATCTTCCTAATGGACAAACCATGCCTGTTGCTATTCCTGCATCTATTACAAATTCTAATGTACATGTCCCTGCTGCAGTTCCAGTAAGTAAGCATGTTACATTAATTTGAAAGTATAGCAGGTTTGCATAAGTGCAGCATAGAACTTGAAACAGCTGTTTTGGTTTCAGAGGGTAGTGGTGTCAAATACTCTGTGTTATGATAACATACTCAGGCTTTCTTCATTTTTATACTTTATCTGGTCAGCTTGTTAGACCTGTCACCATGGTGCCTAGTATCCCAGGAATCCCAGGGCCTTCCTCCCCACAGCCAGTGCAGTCTGAGGCTAAATTGGTAAGTGAAAAACTCCATTATTCCTCAAGAAGACTAACTTGAGAAATTGATTAAATTTTATTGCTTTTTAGAATGGCTTTAGTTTTCTTTTGTTAGTCTAAAATCTGCAACTACAAATTTAATGAAACTGAAGAATAGCTGCGTTTGATTATAATTATTTTAAATTCCGGTGTATGTCTCTTTTAAATGGTCTTCAAATGAACTCTTTCTTGGTTCTTGCATTGGAGGATTAGAAATGTTAGTAGTTAAAAGAAAGACAAATACAGTAGCTTGTCTATGGTGAACATCATCTTTGGAGAAGCAGAATGTAGTTCTTCCTGAAAGATGTGATGTTTCTTGTTTAAAAAAAAAAAAAAAAAATCTAGGAAAAGAAAGTGCTGTGTTAACAATGTTTTCAGACTCTCAAATATAATCCAGTTGACAAATTTTTTTGTAATATGCTGCTGACGTACTTTACAAGTTGTATTGTGTGTTTTCGGTTGTGTGTGGGCTGTTTTGTTCAGGGGGTATTGTATGGGGAAATTGTGAGTAAAACAGGCAGAGATTTAAAAAGAAAAAAAAATTAGTAATCAAGTTATGCTGGTAGTTTGAATTAAAAACTATCAGTTGCTTTGCTGTTTTTGCTGGCTTTTTGTTATTGCCCCAACTATTTTAATAACATAGTATTAGTAGCAATTAACCCACTTATCTAGTTATCAACAGAAATGTAAAATGCTTTTGTCTTGTGAAGCAGTGTTCCTCTTTTGAGGAACTAAAAAAGAATCAAGAATACCTGCTAGATTTTTTTTTAATTTTGTACAGCAATATTGTTGAGTGGGAGGATGGTCTTAACATTCTTTGTCTTATTTCTGTTTACCTTTTCTTAGCCATTCTCCTTCCCAAACTTTTCTTAATTCTGTCAGGTTATCCTTTCAGTTTCATTAAAATAGTGTAGAGAGGAACAGAAAGGATAAAAGTCTCTTTCTGTTCATCCTTATCCCACTAGGAATGTGGAATCACAGAATTGCTTGGCTGGGAAGGAATCTTAAAGCCCATCCAATTCCATAAGTGGGCATGGTTGCTACCCCCCATCAGAGTGGGTAGCAGATCAGAGCCCTGGCCCCTGTCCAACCTGGCCTTGAAACATCTCCAGAGATGGGGCATACAGAACCGCTCTGGGCAGCCTCCTATACCACCCTTTCAGTGAAGAATTTCTTCTTAATGTCTAACCTAAATCCGCCCTCTTTTTGGTTAAAAGAATTTGCCCTTGTCTTATATCAGGCTGTGTAGAAAGTTGTTCTCCCTTTGTTTATAATTTCCCTTCAATAACTTAAATACTCTTCTCCAGGCTGAACAAGCCCAGCTCCCTCAACCTTTCTTCAGAGGAGAGCTGCTTCAGCCCTCTGTTCATCTTCGTGTCCTACTCTCGATCTGCTTCAACAGCTCTGCTTCTTCCTTATACTGGGGGCCTGGTAATAACTTCAGTGTAACCAGGTCTGATGGGATGAAGTTTATCTTAAATATAGGAGAGAAGAAGCTAAAAAAGTGAAAATGAGATTTGTTTTTGCCCACAGATGTTGCACGTTTATAGTTATTAGGAGACTCGTATGAAGTTTTATTTTGTGAAATAAGGATAAATAATCACCTAATAGTTATTTCCCATTCTTGGGCTGGAATTTAGGTTCTTAAGCAGATTACTCTTGAGCGATCTGTCCTTATGAAGCTTTAAAGCAGGGGAGAAAACACACGTATGTAGTGGAGATTTTGGTCTCTCACTGGAAGAAGCAATCACTTGGATGCAAAGAACAACAAAGATCATTAGACTTAAAATTTAATAGTCTCGTTAGTCTTCTCGTTAGAATTTAGCTAATATATGCACTTCAGTGATTGCCTATATTTTTTTTTAAATGAGACTGTAAAAAGTATATTTGCAGTTATTTCTTCTTTCTTTCCTTGTTTCCTAATACAAAGCATGAGCAGAATTCAAGAATATCAGAATTATGTATGTTTCTTATGCTCGTATACTTTTATATAGTGCCTATTCATGAAAATAAAAACCTTAATTTCTTATTGCTCCTCAAGTAAAGGCAACTTAATGAGAATTTTAACGTTTCTGCAGAAAAGCTTCCGATAGGAAGACTAACTCACTCTGCCATGTGATGCATTGTTGGCAGATATTTTATGGTTTATTAACTGTAAAGTTCCATTTAATTTTAAAAATCCAAACCTTTTGTGATGCCAAGTACTTTCTTCTATTTAATTTTTTCTTATATCTCTTGAAAAATATTTTTGCTTGCAACAGATCCAATTCTTCAAAGGTATAGTATCAGTTCTATTTTTCATTTGTGTTCTGGGCTAAGACAAGAAGTCTTCATTACCTATTTTTGCAACTACTTGTTTTCTTTTCACTTTATTGATAGTTCTCCTGAAAGGTGAAATATAAACTATTCTATTGAGTTAAATTTAATCACTGATCAAATGATGTATCTACTAACAGTAGACTGCAATTTATGGATTTATTGGTATGTTTAAGCAGAAGGCAGGGAGCAGTTCCTGCATCCACTTCTCTGGGATGAAGCCTGTCAGCCTGATATTCTTACTGCATTTTTAAATGGAAACTGAATGAAGAGGGACAGCTGTGATGTTGCTCTCTCAGCAATCGGAGCATAGGAGTCAGGATTTTCTGTTGTTTTTTTTCTTTTTTAATTGTCTATTAGTTGGAGATTTTTTTGTACTTTACAGACAAATGTTGCAATCTCTCACAAATTTTTTTTCATACTGCATTGTAAAATGTAGGAACAGAATACGTAGCAAATATTTAAAAAATAAATAAATGCTCAGATGTGTTCCTAACATTGCATCTGCTCTGCAGATATGAAGGTAAGTTTTATAATGTATGAGTTGCAAGATGGGAGAAGTTCATAGGTTCAGTGCAGCTGCAGAGGGTTTTGTCATGTAAGCTTTTGGCCATAATTGTTCAAACCTTACTTTTCTTTAAAGCCCATTGTTTCCTAATGCAATAGTCTGCATTTTCTACTGTCCATATGTATGTCAATACTGTTTCAAGGTGTTCTTAACACAGATCTACCTGCTTCAGAGATTCGGGGTAAAATTCTTGAAGAAATGTTAGAAGCAGCTTTTCACTTGAAGATGGGAACCGGGTGCTTCCCTTCATTTATACTTTGTGCCATTCTTTACAGAGGTTATTTCTGCCAATCTTTTTTTTTTGCATGATGTTTCAAGCAGCTGAGATATGTTAGAGTATGATCAGAAAGCTTGTTGTGCTCTGATTTCATTCCTCATCTCAATTCTTCATTTCTCTCTTAAGTGTTTACAAAAGGATACAGTTACAGATATTTATATTTTTGCCTTAAAGTGAAGGTGAGAATTTTGACCTTTAAAAATATATATATTTTTGTATTTGTATTTTTGTTGCTTTCAATGATTGTAGAGATTTGGCATTTAAATATTAATTTAATATTTAACTTAATTTCTATTGATTGATGTAAAAATATCCAGATTTTCTTATTATTTTATGAATACCAATTTTTATGAGCTACTTGTGAGCTGCATATACCAAATTGTATATACAACATCATACATTTATTTTTATAAAATCAAGAGTCAACTACAGTAAAAACAAATTGAGTTTCTGACTTCTAAAAGCTAAAGGCTTTTAGAACACTTGGAGGAGTCTTGTTTCATAATTGGTGTAGGGTGCCTTCCTGGAACGCGATTAAGGCTTTCCTTCATCTGTCCTGGGAGTTTATAACCCTTAAGAGACCTAATATAGTTGCTGAGTAACTCCCCCACTCCAGCCCAAAAATGAACAGCTTTTTGAAGTCAGTTTCTAAGTAGGCTTTCTTCATTGTATTACAGTGTCCCAGCTTAGTGCACAATAATCAAAATTTTGATCAAAATTTGATCAAAATGTTTTCAATCTGATATCAGACTCCTTCAGAAAGACAGTTTTGATTTTTTCGTGTGAAGAGAGTTATTGAGTCATGACTTTGGGAACACTGCTCTCTCTTTGTTAAGGTTGCTGGGCATTAAATAATCACATGAATTCTGTGGAGGAACAGCTGCGTATGAAAACAGGTTCACTGAGTGTAATAGCAGATAGAAAAAAATCAACCAACTGCAAATAATACAACTACAAAGCAGACAAGATAAAAGCCACGAGACAAAAATATTATATTGTCTATGTAACAATCCACATCCCTACAGTTGGTGACCTTGTTGCATACTGTTCTCAACTCAAACAGCTAAAATATAGTGGAGGAAGAATGTGTTAAGTACAATCTTGTGTGTGTGCTTCATCACTATACAATGTTACATATGCAATGCCATATGTGTGTCAGTGCTATGGGATAATTGTGCACAGTTGGATTGCATTTTTATTTCATTGTACACTGTTAAGCTACTGTAGCAAATACGTGTTCCGTTCACACCTGTAACAGGCACTGTTACTGCAGTTTGAATATGATTGGAACCTGTAACTCTTGTTACTTGCAGAGTTGATTGAAATATGACTAGAGATTTCATTCAAGAACAACCTTTTGTCTTCTGCTGGTATTCTTTTGAGTGTATCCTTGTTGTACTGGGAGTGACAGTAGGAATGAAAATGGGTTTCACATTTCTGCAGTGCACTGAAAATAAATTGTCCACTTTTATGGCATGATTTCATATTAGTTGTGCAGAGCAAACTAAATGCTACGTAGTTTAGTAAAATAAAATGTACAGATTAGTCTTGTAATATTTTAGGAAATGTTAGAATTAGATGTAATGTAGCTGTTACAAAAACAAAGAAGCTTCTCAGGTAAAGGGTGCTTGGATGTTAACAAGATGGTGTTTAAAGGTTCCTTCCAACACAGACCATTCTATGATAAGAATTTGTAATTGTAAGTACTGCATAGTTGCTTCTGATCTGTTTGTGAAAAGATCTGAAACTGTATGCTTTCAGAGATTAAATCTGAGCCGTGAGCTGTTCCTAGTTGTAGTGCATCCCTTTTTCCTGAGTGTATGGATTGTGGCTGCAAACCTGATGTTCACACCCTTCTGTGTGGGTTGCAGAAGTTTCTCAGTGAAAGAAAAGTTGTTCTAACTTTTTACACTAACAATTCCCCTGCCTCCTTCCCCTCATCATGTAAAATCTTTTGTCACAAACTGAGAAATGGCTTGCACGCAGTGGGCAGCCAGTGGGCTTTCTGCAGGAGGTTTCTACTGAGAATTGACAGGGCAGCTTGGCAAATGTTCAGAAGCCTGCATTAACTTGCTTGGGCCCGGTATGGGACCCCGTGTTCAGCAGAATTCTTCTGACCTGTCTCTCTGCATGCCGAGCTAATCAGCAAACACCTAATGAGCCTACTCTAAAGAAACAGACCCTCTCACAACTACTTCATTTTCATATGTTCTCTGGGGGTGGAGAGACAAGTCTTCATAAGGACTGATGATGCTGCAAAGACCACAATAATGATAATTAACTTGCTGAATTTAGAAGATTATGCTGTTAATTAGTTGCAAAATAAAGATAAGTAATAGAGCAGCAGATGGTAGGATAACACCCAGGAGAAGGAGGGTTATTACTCTGATGAGCTTTTGTGGCAGATATGAAATATGGATCTGAGTTTTCATGAATTGTTTCTGGAGAATATTATCTTGTTTCCGTGAGCTCTTGATGGAGTGATCTAGTCCTACCAAATTTTGACAAATGCAGTGAGGATTTGTTTTCAAAGATGTACGTAAATAATAAAACCCTGCTAATCAAGACTTTAAAAGCTATTAAGCTATTTGAAAATACCACTTCTAGGTTGCCCCTAGTAAGCAAAAAAAAATGTTAAACTGAGTTTTTTATCAACTTTCCCCACACATTAATGCTGATGTATGTTTATGCTAATATTTGTTTCAATATACTGGATTTTTCAAACTGAGATTCCCAAGATTCCCATAGTGTTTGATGTCTCACTATTCACAGGAAGTACAACATCCACACAGTATTTTGTTCCAGCACTACCTGCTGAGCTATGAAATGCTTAAATTGAATATCCTCGGAGAATGTGTAATAATACTTTCCATGTTATTTCTCACTTTTTTGATAGTTTTAATCAGAACTACTATTTCAACTTTGAAACTGTGACATAAAGCTATAGCCAGTGATTTTGCTTTTTTTTTTTTTCCAAAAGCTTCTGATTTGATTTAACAGTGTAATTTTCGAAAGAAGTATATGTATTTACTAACATACAAAACAATAATATTTGAATGTTAGCATTACAGTATAGAAAGCTCTCCTTTATTCGTATATCCCTGTGCTTATATGTTTTATAAGTAGTACTTTATATTTACTTTACTTTTGCCATTTTCAAATTAAATGGGCAACATACAAATATAATAGCATCAACTTGTAGTCTAACTTTGTAAATATGTCTGTAACACAGAAATGAAGAGTTAAAATATGAACCTGGACAATAATAAGTTATTTGCCTTACGTGAGAAAAACCGCAAAAAACGGTCATCAAAACTCAAAACCTACTCAAATACTCATTAGTTTTATTTAATCTCCCACGTTTTCTGACCCTAGCCAGTCTTTTACTAGAGTGGATATGTTCAGTGAAACTTATTTAAAGAGCTGGCTTTGTGCAAATGCTACAAAGCATTTCCAACAGTTCACAGAGTTTTTTGGTGGTTGGTTTTTTTTTGTATGTGTGGTGGATGCTTACATCAAAGTTTGCTCATACAACCACAAACAGAATTGAACAGGCACACTGACCATCACATACTATTTAAGTTTTGTGCTACACTGCCTTAAACATTAGAATTTAGCTTGTTGTTGTTGAACTTACATATCCAGACAGTTGAGATGGATGAAATCTAATCACAGTGGAAGAGGAGAATGCCTTTGTATGGTAAGTTACTACGTTGTGGTTGAATAATTATTAATAGATGGTAACACCTGGAACATTTTGCCCAGCGAAGCTTTGAATGCCCCATCTCTGGAGATGTGCAAAGCCAGGTTGGATGGGGCTCTCAGTATCCTGATCTCGTGGCTTGATGAAGAAGATCATCAAATCAACATTTTTATACTTAGATCATGGAGTTTGTTTCTGTAGTTTCAGTTAGAAAGTACTGGGGCCATTCTATTGTTTAAATGGAGGCATAGACTGAGTTTTTTTGGTAGCCTGTGTTTCCATGGTGAATTGGGAAGGTACAAGTTGTCAGTTTGCTTTACTATTGGAAAGGACTTAGGATTTCCAGAGTACAGGAAATCTTAGTATACATACTAAGAGTAGTGGGCATGTTATCTTTAAAAATGGTGTCATCCTGCCCTAAAGCCTGCATCATTGTCAGTTACACACATAAGTTCATCTTTTCCCTTTTCCAATGTATGTTAGCTACCAACCAGCATTAAGAAAGCTTTGGCAGATCTGTTGACAAACTGACATCTTATTTCAGTAATTTTACCACAATAAATTAAACCAACCCAAAACTTACTGTCTCTGTATCTCTGTATGGCTCTGTTTGTTGTTCATACTCTTTATAGCTCAAAAGTCAGATTGTTTATAATTTGAAGCTACAACAATGCATAGAGAATTTGTGTGCAACTGTTATTTTGCAGTGTAAAGCTTTTGAATCATTTAACTCGTGTTTTGCTAGTGTAGAACATCCCATATTCTTAAAAAGATGGAAGTGCTTGAAAGGTCCCACTTAATGATTCCAGTTCATGGATTACCAGGCAGAGCTAGGCTGTTAGAAGCCAACTATTTATCTGATGGAATAATGCGTAAAGGTGTACAGAGTGTCCATACAGAGCTGTAGGGGATCTCTTACATTCTTGTTTTTGAGAAGTGCATTTGGAATTTGAGTGGGGTGATGTGTGCTGTCACACTCTATATAGAGCAGTTCCTATCAAAGAGGCTACTAGAGAAGCTTACTGCTTTGGTAAATAGAAGTCACTGATTGAAACTTCTCTAATAGGAAGCCAGCAAAGGAATGTTAGGACCTTCTCGTTCTTCTCAGTTCTCTGTATGGTCTTCAAACAGGATGTCTGCTGCTGGTGGTTAGAGGCTACAATCAACCAGTTAGAGGGTCAATTTGCCATATCACAAAGATTTTTTGCAGTTTTGGCAGAGGTGGATGTGCAATCTGTTGCTTAAATGTAAAACAGGAGCCAGGAAATCCTATCAGGGAAGAAGAGAGCTATCATTATATTCCAATGGCTTAATCCTGAGAGGCACTGGATACTGTATGATAGCTGATATGGAGTATCTGTCTGCATGACTGGATGCAAAATCCTTTGCTTTTTTGGACTGACCAAATGCAGCCCAGCTCCAACATTTTCAAGACATTTTTTTAATAATTAGTACTTTATTGACATTTACTTCATATTCTAAACCACTTTGAAACAAGAATTAATTAAAAAGACAATAATTAAATGTTGTTAATATTATACACAAATGTGTTTGGCATAAGGAATGTGATAGAAAATTGTTACTGTTATGAAATTGTCAATATTTAAAATAAGGACTCCAAATAGAAATGTATGAGCCAGCTTCAGACCTAAGTATTGCAGCTGAGTACTGTGCCAGTATTCCTGGTTCTGCATGTGTCATTGCAAGTGCAATACAATACCAGTTACAACAACTATTTCTCCATGCTTTCAAGTCATCTCTGCATGGAAACTGTTCATGACAAGGGAGGTTTTTTTGTTTATTTCTCCATGCTTTCTCCAGCTTGCAGTCCTTTCTGAGATGTTGTTATGATGATTGCAAGAAGTTATGATTTCAAGTAGATATATGTCTACATTGCTGTTGAAAGCCTGTGAAAAACAAGCAAAAAATCCAGTAGTGATAGAGTTGGAGTTCCTGTTTGCCAAGCGGAGTGGAAGTAACTAATATAAATCATTCATAAGTCCTCAAGTTATCCTATGGTTATGTAATTGTTACCATATTTCCATTATGTTGAGGGGAAAAAAAAAATTTGTTTTCTTTCAGAGACTGAAAGCAGCCTTGACCCAGCAGCACCCTCAGGTAACAAATGGAGATACTGCCAAGGGACATCCGAGTGGGTTGGTTAGGACTCAGTCAGATGAGCCGCGACCACAGTCTCTACAGCAACCTGCAACTTCAACAACTGAAACACCGGTATGACAACAAAGTGGAAATGCATTTCCTGCCCCGTTCCTTGTTACATAAAAACTTCTTTCTTTACTGTTGATTTACAAAGCAGAGCTTAACAAGTTCTATGGAATACTCTCAGAATTAGAGGTTTGAGGGAGAAATTGACTGCTCTGGTGCAATGCTGGCAACACCTTTTATATAGATAGATAGATGGATGGATAGATAGATAGATAGATAGATATAGTTATGCAGCAGACTGCCTTTTCTAGATGATTATATGTTATTTTGCCAGATTGCTATGTCGGTACTGTATGTATTTTGCTGTCATATCAGTATTTGTGTAGTAATGAAGAGTTTATAATGTTCTTTCTGCAATGCATTATTCAAGGTGATAATTTCAAAATAGGTATTATCTGTCTGTTTAGATTTAAAACTAACTCCTGATTTTTGGAGTGTGCTAGCAGGAATTTTTGCAGTAAGTGAAAATTATACCACTGATTTTGTATAATCAAAAAGAACAGCTTACTTTGTTTTGCATTTATATTACATCTGTCTACTGCATTTCACATCATAAGCACTCTTCCGAACTTCTTAACTGCATCAAGGATAACACTTGTGTTAATTGCTTTAAGGATCCTTTTTGGGCTTCCACAAGAAGAGTTTCAGTACTGTGTCTTTCTGAGCACTGAAAGGAGGTTAGTGAGCTTAGAAGTGGTAGTGTTTTCCTGTGGGGTGGCAGGTGAAAACAGGAAACTAAGGGACAAAAGCTCCAAGTCAGACTAGAGGTGCTGCTGGAAGAGGTGTTTCCAAAGTGAATCCTGGACAACTGCCATTCTGCTTCTAAGAAACCTGTCAGAAGAGCAGTTTCTTAAGAAAATATTTATAGATGGCAATGGAAACAGTCACTGTCCCTAAATAGAGGGTCAGTGAGATAAAAGCAAGGTTTACTGTAAGGCTTCGATGTGTTTTTGGGTTGTTTCCCAGTGCTCTTGAAGACTTATTATTACACTGATAACTTCTTTAACGCTTCGTGCTGTTTTCAGGCATCACCAGCTCAGCCTACACAACAAACACCAAATACAGGTGGTCGGCGAAGAAGAGCTGCTAATGAAGACCCTGATGAAAAAAGAAGGAAGTTTCTTGAGCGAAACCGAGCTGCTGCTTCCAGGTGCCGACAGAAACGGAAAGTCTGGGTGCAGTCATTGGAGAAAAAGGCTGAGGACCTGAGCTCGCTAAATGGCCAGTTACAGGTATACTTTTTATTTTGAGTAAAAATGGTTAAATCACTCTTGGACAGTGATTCTGCATCGATGGAACTTAAACTTTGCATGAAATCAGAGATGTAAGCTACTTTTAAATGATGTCTCAGGTCAGAATTGAAAATCCAGTATTGAATTGCATATTCCAGCAAAGTAAGAATATAAAAGAGTGTTCTGATTTTAAGATGTGTAAACTTAGGGTCATTCCCATTTGTCCTTTGTTCCATTTTAAATAACTTTCAGACAGTGATACTAAGTGACTTGATATGTTGGAGTAAAGGCTTAATAGCCTTACCTTAAAAAATGCCTTGGACTTACGATTTCTATCACAGTCTGAGTTATTTAAATAACATTTCTTTTATTTCCTTTGGTTCTTTTTAACTTCACTGTTTTTTCCTTTAAAGTGAATGTAGTGCTCGTGAAAGGTGCCAGATTGACATCACTGGAAACTGAAGGCCTCTTTTGTCCACAGAACAGGTACAGCACAGGCAGTGTCAGTGCAAATTTCACCACGCTGCCCTCCCAGTGTGCATAACTCTGAGAGGGAGAGATGTATACTGTAAGAGGGTAGTCTAGTATATATTACCAGTTATTTCTCCACACCATCAGAGGTTTCATTGGAAAGTTGTCACATTGACGCATTTTTCCCCCTTAAACAATCCGTGACCCTTTTGTTTAAATTGCTACTGCTACTAAAATATGCTTTCTTCATTTTTTACCACAGCACACAAGAATTGGCAGGAAGTATTGTTTCAAAATAAAAAGTCTGAAAGCATCATTTTAAGAATTATGGAAAGGAAAGCTTGATGTTGTTTCCTAAATAAAGCATTTGTTTAGAAAATGCAATGAAAAGTATTTTGATATTTTGAAGTTTGTCTCATTTCCTTAGAGTTGTTCAGTGAGTCAAATTCACAGATCTTTCCTATTAAAACCCTCATTTGGTGCTATTGATGAAGATGTCCCAGCTCAACCACAGAATAGTATAGCGTGTTTTATCTTGTAATCAGCATTAGAAAATATCAGCCACCTTCAGTTTCCTGACTAGAACAGAATAGTGCATTTAGAAGGGACCTTCAAAGATCGTTGAGTCCAAATGAAACCAAAGCACGTTACTGAGGGCATTATCCACATGCTGCTTGAACACTGACAGGCATGGAGCACCAGTCACCTCTCTAGGAAGCCTGTTCCAGTGTTTGTCCAACCTTAAAGAAATTTTTCCTAAAAATAAAAAATGTATCTAGTCTGTCTTAAAAAATTTTCAGCATCAGATTGTAAAATACAAGAAATTCAGAGCTAAGCACATAATGTGAAACTATTAATCGTGTTCTAGAAACACTGCCTGACATCATGGCATTACTTAATTTACTTGCAAGTACATAATCTTCTCTTACCTGTTCACAATCTGAGGACTTGACTTTAATGTAGTCATAGCCCTTGCTGTACATCCACTAATTGCAAAATGACATGTAGCACTACAGGTTCAAGAATCTAAGGAACAAGTGAAGGTATAGCGTACTTTTCTCGCAGGAAGAAAAGCAACAAAAACAATTGGCTGTATTGCAGTTGTCTTAATGAAAGTAGTTTTTGGTAAGATGAACTACCTTTAACTTGTACATATCCATTTTTATAATTGAAAACTATGAAAGTACCCTATCATCATTTGTTGGTAACAAATTGTCACAGTGGGTTTGAAACCAGTAATGAAAGTTGTTGTACAGTTATATACACACACACCTTATTTACTGTAGGTGCTACTGTAACAGCAACATTAGTATTGTACAGTTACAAAATAACATAGTAGTCTTTTGCTTATTAGAGAGAGAGCAATCCTGGTTTCTTTCTGTGCATGTTCAAACATCCTATAATGGATAAAATGTAGTATCAAACTTGTTTGCAGGTATTTTAATCAAAATAACACATCCATATAAAGGCATGCAAATATACTACCTGATAATAATACGGAAGAAAGCTAATGCTCTGTTTAAGAAGTGCTCCATAGCAGCAGTAATGATCTAGGGAAAAAAAATTAAAAAGCTTTGTCTCGTTGAGAAGGCCACAGGTTTTCTCTTCTTTAACAGTTGCAGTTTTTCTAAATTGATGTTTGTAGCACGATGTAATTCTTGTTACAAATAAAGAGTGAGAGTAGAATCTAAAGTCAGAAGGGAAATCATGTTTTACACTTTGTTTTATGGCAAATGCTAAAACATGTTTCATCCTGGGACTTTGTCAGTGATCTTAATGTCTCCTAAACTGTTAGAATAACTGTGGCTGCCCATGTAAAATATTGTTGTATTTATTTGTATGCATTGCTTAGGCCTATAGTTGCATCTAAATCTTGATTATGGTTTTTACTTATATGTTTACATATCTGGAAACCAAAACATTTCCAGATTTCCAAGCAGTAATTCTGTAATAACTCAAGAAAAAGGGATTCCTTAATTTGCCAAAAGCAAAACTGTTAACTATGAAGAACAGAATGATTTGAAGAGTATTGAATGTCAGAGAAACAAACTATTATGTGAAAGCATTCATCCATCCTGAATTTCCATAGTAATGTTTTACTTAATAATCTAACATAGCTGATCAGCGTAGTGGGCAGAAATGGTCACTGACATTATATTTAATAGTGAACTTGTTACATTTGGAGTTTTTCCTTGGTACAGCTTCGTGGCCTGAGTGGGTAGGGTTTAGTAGCGCTTGTTTAATATCTAAGTGACCTGCTGAGATATCATAATTACAAAAAGAAGTTAATACCAAAATGACTAGGAATTGCATTGCAGTGCTTTGCATAACGCTTTCAACTTCTTTCAGCACAGTAGTTCTCATGTTATATTTGTGTCACAGATTCTAATGTCAACGTTTTTAAATCTGGGAGCTCTCTAACAGTACACACAGATTTGAAGAGCTATAGTGGGTTGATACATATTCTTTTGTTCCACAGTTTTTTGCTTTCTTAGTTGAATTTGTGTATGAGAATGTAATTTATTCAAGCTTTTTTTTTTTTTACTGTAATGAAGATTTCATTATTATGAAATATTTTCATATTATGAAATCATGACAATAACATATATTAGATTGGCCTTTATCAATCTATACTATGGGCTACATATGTTATTTCATGCCTCCAGCTTTTTGAAATATATTTGTTTTCTTTTTTGTGTTTTCTACTCATATGTTGACTCATTTAATGATCTGAGAATTGTTAAACTTCGTTGTGTTGCCTCTGTGCCTGTCCTGAATATGGTATGCTATGTAACATGTTCTTAAGGAGCTGTTGACCATGTGTGCCCAGCGGCTGCTCAGTGGTATTGCAGTGTCTGATTCCAAAGTCTGTAGCATGTTCCCTTTTTGATCCCTACCACTTTAAAAACTCCAAAGGACAAAGAATTAGTGAGTTTGTGTTACTTCTGTTAGTAGAAGAATGGTCTGTCTTCCTTAGGAGGTCCTTCTGGGCTTTAGGAGACATTCCTTATCAGTTGATGGTTTGTGCGAGTACTACAGAAGCTGCTTTAGGAAGGCTATATAAAAAATAAATGCACAGTCCATTATCCCCATAACTGACACATCTGCCTGTCTGTGGTAATAGGCCTGGTAAATACACCTCACAAATGTTGCCCAGCACCCAGCTTAATAAGGGTTAATCTGGTCCCATTATTACACGTGTGTTTTGAATGCAGAGAAAATAGGCAGATGCAGAAGAACATACTGTACACAGTGCAATGTACTGTGATGTACAGAAGGGAAAATATCTCTTGAAAAATGGGATACAGGTGGAAATAGATGTGCTTTCCCCCAGAATCCTGCTTTCCCATATTAGCATGCTTTTTAAATGTGAACATAAGAATTCTTCTAGGTAGAATGTGAAGTATATTTCATGCTTGTTTAAAGAAAGGCTGATACCTGCTCTTGATGTAATAAATGAAGAGGGCTGTTCATCTTCTGTGTGCAAAAAGTTTCAGTGTGTCTTCGTGCCAACTGTTGAATTGTTTGTTCTGTGTGTTTCTTCTTGTTAGCCTATTTTCCATAAAGACCACCTGTTAACATATTTTGAAAGAGCTGGAAGGATGTCATATTGTCAGATGCATGATAAGAAAACTGCAAGGTATATAGACGTTGATTCTAATAACCACTTTTATTATCAGTCCAAAGTGGCTGTTACTAGTAGCATGTAAATGGCAGCTATTGATTTGTCTCTCATTCACATTCCACATACCAAGTATGTCTGGGACTTACTCTCTTCTGCTTTCAGGAATGGTTTGTAAGTGGAATATGATGCTGTTGGCGCAGTGCTGATGTTACTAACAGTGCTAGCTCTGTTTTCAGGGAGTGTGCCTCAAGTTTTTAAGTTAGTATAGGAATGCTTTTTTTTTTGTCTTTTTTTTTTTTTCCAAATCTGCTTTAAAATAAGGTATTTGCTTTTCTATATTCCTTTCAGGCAGGCACTGCCTTTTCAACTGTTTTTCATGAATACTACATTTATTTACACTGGTAAACAGCTGCTTCATTTTTATATATGCTATTCATGTATAAAATTCTTCCTTAAATGGGGGAGATGAAGGTAGAAACTTTCAGAATATTTTTTTCCTGGTTTGATAGTTTATTTTGCCAGTGTTCCTTTAAACTAGCAGAAGTATGATTCATATTCTTGGACATTGCTGCTTCTGTACATTATCAAGAAGTATCTCAAAACTGCATCAGCACTTTGCTGTATCAACTCTGTGCAGCTGCCTGGTTGGCATCCAGACGTGGAGCCACAGTAAATAACATGGTGAACTGAGAACTGAAAGCTGGAGGTACAAGTAGAGTGCTCCCGTAACAGCCCAGGATTTCAGAACATACAATTCCAGATGGTAGAGCTTTGTAGGTGATGTGGGTTTTTTGTTTTTTTTTTCTTTTTTTCATTACAACCTTTTTCTTTGTAATCACAGTTCTCTTGTATTAGAAACATCAGTGAAGTCAAATTACTCTCAGCTCTTCTTTTTGCTTTAAAATTCCTGCAAAGGATATTTGGCACAGTAAAATGACTGAACAGAAAATTTGTCCTTAATTTTTTAAAGAATATTTTGCAGATATAAAATTGGTCTTCTAATTAGAGGGAGAGTGCACAGAGAAAAGCTGTCATCCAAATCTGATATTTTAGCTACAGTATTTTTAAATTATATTACCTAGTGTAAGTATACCAAATAAATTCTATTCTTGATTATGTTTTCATTATTTTAGAATCCTTTTAGTTATCATTCATCTCTTCTGACTGGACTACCTTAGCTTACACAGACAGATCGACATTTGCATGGTTTTTTTTTCCACATAATTTTATTTGTAATCTAATTTTCTATGTTTGCTTTTCTTTAAATTGCTTCCAAATCCATAAACACATGCATTCATGGGTAATACATTTTTTACTTATGTGTGCAGATTTGTATGGTTTAAATAACTTCAAGTATTTCATATCAGTGGAAAGGACTTGCATTTAAAATAAACTAACCCCTGAAAAGATATTGCATATCAGGATGTGAGGCTCATAAAGCACTGCAGATAACCTGAGTCTGTAGATACCTACTGGTTTTTCTAATGTTCTAAGTGAAAATGAATCTCTCACCATGCCACACTGTTCTTAATTTGGAGTGTCGGTATAGTTATGTACTGTTTCTCATTCATAGATATCAAATTCTTTTACAGAGAAGGTAAGTATTGTCCTCCATCTTACAAATGGGGAAATTGCAGCACAAAGAAGAAAAATGACCTTCCTCAAGGTCACCCAGTAGTGGAAAGGCACAGCCTGGGAACGAGCACTGTCACTAGATTCTGCAAGTGCTGTCTCCTAGATTGTGCTCCTCTTTAGCGGTATAGACTGACACTTAGGTTTTGTCATCATTCTTAATTACTGCTTCATACAGTACTTGCTTTATACATGATCGTTAAGGAGAAATGTGAAAATCAACAGACATTTTCTAAATTATTTTCCATTACGTGAGATTTTTAAAGTCCAAGTACAAATGTAGTTGCCAAAATCAATGCTGCATAGGCTTCTTAAAAAAAATAAGTGTATTCTTGTTTGTGGCATCTGTTGAATGCAGGTAGCTAAATGTAGATTTACGCTGGTTAGAATTCATAAAACTCTGTAGGAGAGTCTTACAGTAGCTGGATCATGTGAATGAGAATATATGTAGATTCTGCATCTGCAAACTGAATAACATGTATTTTCCATAAAAGAGTTTCCTATTTAAGGAAATCATAAAGTTAATCAAGTTTCAGATAAGAAGTATTGTAAGATTAAGAAAGAAAAAAAAACATACATTTTTGCTGTACATACACCAAATGGAAAATTCTTGTATTTTGTTTACCCTTAAATGATCAACTGAAAATCCTATAAAACTTAATACTGACTTTCAAAATGCGTGTAGTTTGAGCCTGGTAAAGTACATAACTTTCTTCTCCTTTAGAATGAAGTCACCCTGCTGAGAAATGAAGTGGCACAGCTGAAACAGCTTCTTCTGGCTCATAAAGATTGCCCTGTAACCGCCATGCAGAAGAAATCTGGCTATCATAGTGAGTAATGTTCCATTACCTATAGCCTTAGTCTGCGGCAGTGAAATACTGCCAAAGTGAACTGAATCAACATTACAAATAAGAAGTGCGTTTCTAATATTACACTAAAGATTTTCTTTCTTAATCTCAAAGGTTATTATAAGGCAGGAATGTATATGGAATATTTAGGTCCTCTCAGTTGAATTGTTGCATATCACTGAGGGTTTTATGTTGGTTTAATAAACGCACATGGTAATTAGCATATATGGACTGTAGGCTACTACACCTGCTTTGGAAAATATAATTAAAGTATTAAGAGCACATGATAAACCATTTCTGTATACTTTATCTTAGCCTAGTACAGAGAAAGGTCCTTGTGGGTTTTTTCTGTATCGTAATGAGATTTCAGAAAAGGTAATACAACAGCTGTCCTCATTTACCATAACATCCAGGATCAGTCAAGCTGTTAAAGTAATCAGATGCAGGTTTGTGCCTCCTACTGTACAATGTCTTCTAGGCTGTTTTGATTTCCACATTAAACAACCTCTTTTAACGGGGCATTTTAAAAAGGAAATATGAAGGGAATACCAAATGCTTTAGTTAGCGTTTATTTTCTAATACATATTTTCACTGTAAGCTGCTTATTTGATTTTTATCCTTCCAGCATTTTAAAGGTTAATTATGCTTTCCTGACTTGTAACTTCATTTTTGGATATGATACGCAGTGCCAGAACCAGCTGCTGCCGCTGCTGTAGAATAAATGGCCAATTTTGTCCATTGTACACAAATTTGTTACAAATAACTGAGCCGGGAATGCATTAGGCAACATTCATAATATATAACCCACAGCTTTCGTTTTTATGATTTAGTGGTATTTCAGGATATTTGTAAATGTGAAGATTGTTTCTGCCATATGTAGCCACTTCATTTTAATTTGCCAGTGTCAGTAATTCAGGAGAATAAAGGAACATTTTGTATTGCATGCAAACAGATCCTCAGGTGCTTGCGATAAAACTTAATGGCCACCATCTTTACTTGTAGTCATTGTAAGCAGTTTCATCAGAATGGGCAATATTTTTTAATTTAAAAGATTCAGGAGATTTAGCAACTCTCTCTTGCCACGTATACTTGGAATACTGATTTTGTCAGTTTTGAGCTTATAAATCTTGGTCCTTTGATCTCCAGTCATTTTGACAAGGCAGAAAATAGCATCTTGGAGCAAATTGGAACAGTATGGAAATATGTTTGGGAGTTATATTAACAATGATTGCTGCAGGGATGAGGCCATTATGGCTCCCATCTGACAGCACAACATAATTTCATACAGAAGCTACTAGGGGATAACATTATGCATGCAAGATTTTCTGGGGGAAAAAAAAAAAACTAACAATCCCCTCCCCAAGCCCCAAAAAGAGCAGCAACTGTAGGTTTCTTGGATTTTGATGTTTTGAGGATACACGTTCAAGTATTTTTAATGCAAATTCAGAAATATAAGTCTTAGACTGGCAAGCTAATTATATGCTAAGGATTTCTTTGGTGAAATACTAATGACAGACTTCTTAGTGATACTGTATGCTCTCTGTCCTCTGAAAAAGGATTATAAGATTCCTGATTTATTAAAGAAAACAAAATGAATATGTACTACAACACTAATCAGTGTAAAAAAGACCACAGTTTAGAAAAAACTAATGATAGGAGAAAAATGGCAGCATAGCTCACTTCCTTGGTTTTTCTGGGTTTTTTTTGTTTGTCTTTGTTCAGTTTTGTTTTTTAATTTTTTTGAAAGTCAGCATTCAGCACAAAGGATGGCTGTAATGACATCCCTCTGACAGAATGTTGTCACATCATCTGCATGTGCATACTGTTAGGAAAACATGTTGGCTAACTGATTTACCCACAGTATAATTCATGGGTAGAAAAAATAGCTTCAGCTAACTTACATGTTCCTGAAAACAGTGTTGGCAAAGTATTTTTAAATAAACAAATTAAGTTCAATTGCTTAAGAACGTACTGAGTGGTTTAACAGGATCTCTGTGGAAGAAACTGAAGACACCAGATTACACCGCTCCTGCAGTGCTGAGTATTGCACACTGCTGAGATGGTGCCACTTTATACTGGGTAGACTGTATTTTAACAGCTAAGCCTACAATTTAATAGGGTTACACCTATGATGCAGTGTAGGCAGAAATAATCTATTGCTTTGCAGGATTTTTTTGACACCTACTTACATATCTTACAAGATCCTCCAGATTTTTCAGGCACATTTTTGCCTTTTTGCCTCATGACAAGTGAGGAAAGCTAACAGTCAAGATGTCCCTTCTGAAAATTGCTTCTGAATGCATATTTTCATTATTTAAAAAGCCTTGTGCCTACTTCCAAAAACAGAAAAAAAAAAAAAAAAAAAAGAACTATTATTATGGTGCTTCAAGGTATTGTGGACAAAATTGTTTCAATTTTTGTGTTTTCAGATGGTTTAAGTTTTTGGGTTTCTTTTTTCCCTAATGAAAAATGGTACTGCTTCTGAATTTATCTTTAAACACTGGGGTATTGTAGTGTATACAAAGAATTTAAATATGGTCCATTTATTTTTCATTTTACTTCTTCAAAACCAGATTATTTCTAAAAGTATTCTGCAACTTGCAGGTATTTTCTATTTTATTTTTTTCTGGACTTAAAGCAAGAAAGCTAAAACTTGTGAAAAGAAAATGTGAAAATTCCTGTTGGAGGAAAAAAAAAGTTTCAGATATTTTTCAAAAGGATGTCCTAGTCTTCAGGATCAGTTATATGAAACTGAATGTAAAAGAAGATAAATAGAGACTGTAAGGCAGGTGGTAGAAAATGAAATTTTTTGTGCATTCTTTTTTCAAGTTAGTTTTAAAGTTACAGTAGAGGGTAACTAGCCAGTTTCAGACCTTGGATAACCCAAACTATTCAGGTGGTTCTACAGCCCATTCTGTGTAAGCAAGCAACAATCCTTCAATAAATTGTGAATGTGCCCTTGCAGTGATGCAGCAAACTCAAGTCTAGCAATGATAATTTTCCAGTGGGTTCCTCTGTAGTCTCTCTGTAGTTGACAATTACCATAAGGTTTCCTTTCTGGAGAATGTCAGAGGACTAGATCTGGATATGGGAATTATTATTTGGGATTTTATTCTGAAGTTGCAACTCCTTCTTTGCTTATGTTGCTGAAAGCTGCCTGTAAGCAATGGTAAGAACTAAATGTTGTGCAAGGGTGCTTTACATATCCTTGTAAGTTTTCTCTGTGTTCTGTTTGGTATTATTTAAAATCTTGTCTGCAGCTCAGCCCAGCCCACCTTGCAGTGCATTACTGAAATACTTGCTCCTCTTTGTGAGACAGAGTTCCTGTCTAGGAACTGTGTAACCTTCGGGAATGTTCATGTGATGTAGGTCTGTAAAGTTTAAGCCTTATAACATGCTGCAAATGTTGTTTCTGTAGATTCACTTCTACTTTGGATCTTGCGTTTTCCTTGGTTTGAGGCAAAACCAGGGGAGACATTAAAATGTCCAGGCTCTCTTCTACATTGTTATCTACGTTATGATTTTGGTATGTATCAGTCGCACCCTTGAATTTCAACGCTGTGCAAGAAAATTCTCCAGTGCATGAGGGAGGAAAATCTGTCTGAATTTGAATTTATAGTCCATTGTTCTTCTGAAAGTCTTTGTTTTTTAATTATCTATCTTTGAGCTTAAGGTGACAAATAATATCTGTAATGAGGTGGCTCTGAGGATACTCTGTATTCATTGCATACATTTTCTTGCTTTGTTTTGATTCTTCGAATGGACTTCTGTGTTCAGTTTTTGGCTGCTTTGCCTGTCAACTTAGGACTATGAAAGAAGTTCTTCTTCAGGGTAGTACCTCATTGCAAAATACTGTTTTGCAGTTATTGCAAGGACTTACACCTCCAGTCGAAGTCATTAGCAAGCGTTAGATCTGTATCTCACATAGTCATCTGACTGTTGTAAGCTCCCTGCCACATCCACAGTGCCTGAAAATATCTGAATGACCTCCTTTTATCTCTTCACTGCAGTATATTCATTTTCTCATCTATACCGAAGTTTCTATTGTGCAGTGGTAGTCATAAGTGTTACCCTAACTGGTTCTTTCATTGCACTTCAGATCATCTTCCAACCAAAATTAGAAAGTCAACTCTTCACATTTTTTCTTGTTGTGATGCTATTACAAACGTTTATTTTGCATTAAGACCATATATATTAAAAGGTACAGAACAATGGAAGATCTTCCTTCTGATTGACTGAAAGATTATCTTCATGCTCTATCTCTGGCTTGTAGTGTTTAAATCTCATGGTTTTTTTGAGGATAAGGAGGATTTTGCCACCAGGAAAATCAGGGATCAGCAAAAAAGAAAAGGTGATAGGAAAGTTGAGATTCGTAGAAGAAACAACAGTCTGAAAAGGAGTATCAGGTGTGATAGTGGGGAGGCTTTATCCACAAGTGTCCAGCTCATGGCTGTTCCATTTTGTCTGAAGGGAAAAACGTGCTGCTCTCATAACTAGTAATTCAGTATTTTTCAGGAGGTAGCACAAGAATTCCTTTCTGTTCTTAAGGAAGTTTGCGTGTGCTCCTTTTTATTTGTTTTTGCATCAGATCCTGCAAGTCTCAGCTAAGTGTAGGAAAGATTAAATCCTGTTCAATAGTATGAACTAAATTGACACTCACTCGTGTTCTTCCTTTTCTTGCATGGACAAATCCTATTAAAGATCATAACACATTTCAGAAGTAGTATAATTATTTTCTTGCTGTATTCAGTTGCCATGTAATCTTACGATGTGGTAATTGTCAGCAGATGTAACTCAATGTTGTCTATCTTATGCTTTGGACATTAGAAAAATCAGTTTCTGGAGAAAAAAAAAAAATCACCATCTGTAACATAGGTAATCTTGTGATTAAGAACTTTATGATGCTTTCGAATGATTATGAACTTGTACTTGTAGAAGGGGGATAAGAGAAATTGTTTCCTTGTTCATCAACCAGGCAACAGTTCCTGCAAAGGAATACAGCTGTTTTGCTTACTAACATATCTTCTTTGACCTTACCATTCTTTTCTGAAAGTGCTTGGTAATGAACAGTGGTGAGGAGTGGGTTCTTAGTATGCATAGGGTTGCTTCAAAGATGTTTATGTTGTGGACTGGACTTGCTAATTTACTGAATTTTCTAGTATGCTGTATAAACCCCAGTGCATCATAAACTTCATCATTGTTTTTTCATGCCTTGTTTTCATTTCAGTTACTGCTGTTATCCTGGTTTTGTGTGGTAATGGGGCTATGGTATCTTTTATTGTGTCGTTTTTTCCTGTCTCTTCTACCCTGGGTAGCTCAACTTTGTAGGCCAATCTCAAGCAATCTGAAGAGGATTACAAAAGCAAATCTAGTGAAAATCGAGCTTTGTTCAATTGTTGTGCCACCCACAATGGTTCTTGCTTCTTCTGTCTGTGTAGGTCTATGTTGTTAGATTACACAATGGTCAGTAGTGTTTTAAAATGACTTCCCAGTCTTTCATTTGTATGTTCATTTTAAGTATTTTTCACAAAAGCTTTATGCAGTGACTTGAAGAACAATAAATAGCACAAAGTGCTACAGAAGAGTTATAATTAAATTTGATCTTCACTCAAAATTAGATGTGTGAACAACAGTAGATTTATTTTCTTTTTGATTTTTAGCCTTTAACTCAGCTTTTTATTTGATGGTGTTTGCATCATGCCTTGGCTAACTTGAAATTCTGGGGAAAAGAAGGATAATTTTAGCATGGCTAGGACATCTTTGTGAGACATTTTAAATCATGCTCATTTTGTAAGTTCTAATTTTGCATAGTAAGATTTTTTTGAATCTTTACCCTTTGTCATGAGATAAAAATGAGGCAACTGTGTGGCAAACTCACTTCAGTCAAAGTGAATTATTCTTAAAGATACTAAGAATAAATACTTCTAAAGATATTTGAACTTTTATTTTAAAAATAATTTTAAATCCTAATGAGAGACATCTGTGCACTAAAGAAGTCACTGAACTTTAATATGTGAAAAGAATGAGGTCTGAAAACTTGTGGAAATATTGTCTAACGTATGAGGTTATAAATGTCACCTTTTTCAGAGAGGATATCATGATCATTGATCACAGAACCAGTCTCTTCACTACTGTGCAAATGAAGTAAATGGCACCCATTAAAAATTCGTATAGCAGCAGCAGACCTGGTAGCACCTTCAATCTATTGGTGCTGCTTATTGACACAACGTGAGCACCGTACCCAGCAGTTCATTTACTAGGTGGGGAATCAGATGGCACTGATCATGGTTTTGAAGATGTGAAAATGTTCTTGTTTGCTGAATACTCCAAAATGCAATCCACGTCTTTGCTTATGTGAAGTAGTGTTGTCTCAAAAAAAGAAAAAAAAAAATAGAAAAAAGCAATGAAAATTAGATTGTTTTGCAGTTTGCTGCGTTAAGTGATACCATGAATGCTGATTGTTTAGGAGGGAACTGCTGTCGCGTGGGAAGTGGTTTTGTGTTAAGAGGGAAAAGAAAACTAAACCAGTTTCTCTTCTGAAGCTGCAGATAAAGATGACAGCTCAGAAGACGTCTCAGTGCCAAGCAGCCCACACACGGAAGCTATTCAGCACAGCTCCGTCAGCACTTCCAACGGTGTAAGCTCCACTTCCAAGGCAGAGGCGGTGGCCACCTCGGTGCTCACGCAGCTGGCGGACCAGAGCTCGGAGCCCGGGCTTCCCCAGGTCGGTGTGGTGCCGCCCTCCCAGGCGCAGCCCTCGGGGAGTTGATTAGGAACTTGGTTGCATCCTTTTCTTAGGTATTCGTTTGTGACTTTAAAGGGAAATCAATGAAAGACCAGTCTCCAGCTAGGAGAAATTGTAGCTTAAAATTACTCAGTTTTAAAATTCAAACCTAAATTTGGCTTTAACGATTGGCAGGTGAAGGTGAGACAGAACACCAGTTACAAGTCTCTTTGTAAAAGACTTTTTTTCTCTTAAGTGTTAGGTTTACTAGTTATTTTTGTGCTTAATGTGTAAAGTGTATGTACAGTACAACGTGGTTTATTTCATTTTTAATTTGGTATTATTTCAACAAACATTGGGGTGAGTTACTAAAGTTCATCCCCCAGACTGTGATAGTAATATTATGTGACATTTTATACCAAAGTTCTGCATAGTCCCTATTGACTTTGTAACACGAGCAAGGTCATAAAGCACTAGGCAAGAGAAAGACAGTAACAGTAAATTTGCTTTTAGTCTTTTTGCCTTTTTGTTGTTTTGCACATTATGAGAGGAAGAACATTGGGAGAAAAATGTTTGGGTTATTTTATGTATAGCATTTTGGTTGGCTTTTTAACCGTTGGGTTTTTGATTTGTTTAATAGGGCCAGTACAGTATATGAAATACAGTACTCTTATGCACATACCTGTCCTAAATGAGGATCGTAACTAAATAGATTTTTTTTTTAAAATTTGTCAGGTGTTTTTTTTTTTTTTTTTTTTTTTTTTCCCCTCTCCAACGCTTTCATTATGAGGGGAGGAGAGCTTTATTTCTTCAGTAAGCATAGGTATCTGTAACTACCCTTTGTTGTTTGGCTGAAACCAGTAAGCATATTGTAAAGTACGGGGTTATCAAGTATGGAACTTAGTATTCCAAAGTAAGATGATATTTGGTGGATTTTTGAGTCGCAGACAGAGTTTACTCATGGTTTTGGATGCCTGAAAAGCCTAAAATCCTTCAGACAACTCAAGACTTTTTTTTGTCATTGTCTTGTATTTGCAAGCTAACTTGTACTTAATTCTTGTGTAAGCACTGTCATCTTTTAGTAGCAAAAATTTTGATACCTTTCTTGTGGAAAAAAAAAAAAAATCAGTATCTACCGTATCTTGGAAACAATGTAATTATAATGTGGTGTGTGTGGTGTGTGCGTGAGAATGGTTCAGTAGTTAATGCCAGCAGTCTTTTGCTTGAATGTTTAAAGATGCCTTCAATGTGATGCTGGCTGATAGGTGATTGCAGTTTTAAAATGTTATTTACTGTGCAAACTTGGATAACTAACATTCCATGATGTAGTTTGTTTCTGATGAAATGATTGTAGGTACACTTTTTCTCATTATCCAATCATCTGTAGGATATTGAGTTTTTTAAATGTGCCATTATCTATTTTGATTCTGTATTCATGTTCAAAATACAGTACAATATTTTACAATAGATTAAGTTGTTTAAAAAAAGTATAGATGTGTGCTTTCAGGTGGGAAAACTTTGTATAATAGCAAAAACAGATGCATAGTAGCAACTGGCAGTAAAGCAGGATTCCATTATGTATATAACAAAGATTTAATGCATTTATAATGGGTTGTGTAGTTCATTTGCTGTTCCTTCTCCACACTATACTACGTGTTTTTAAGTGTCAGTGCCATCAGATTTCTATTTGATTCAGTTTAAAATCTAAAAAATGTGATTGATCCACAGGGAAATCATGATTTCTACAGTATATATACAACCGTACTACCACGAAACTGGACAAAGAGATATCTAGGTCATATATCTATCATTGCAGGGCTTTAAGCATGCAAATAACAAGGATTCTAAATATTTTGTATTGTAAACTGAGGAAGTTGAGTTGATACCCTCATGCGTTTAGAAGTCTTACTTTCCCAATTTCAGGAATAAACAGTAAGCTATTGATCATTTCCGGGATGGGAACCTATAATGGACATCTTGTGAGAAGGAAATGGATTGCAAAGGCACAAAATGTGAATTCTGCAGGAAAGCTATACAGTCACTTTTCACTGTAGTTTTGGTGGACGAGGCAAGGCCTTATTGATTGTGCTATAATTTGCTCTCCTAAACACAAAAGCTTTTTAAATCATATTTATATAAGTGAAGTTTTTTTATAACAGCTGTCACGCTTGTAAGTCTTGATAAGTGTATAGGAGACGTGTAAACAGTTAATGAGTTTAACAGTGGGGCTGGAAAAAGAACCATTAAAATCTGTATTCAGCAAATAGAAAACAGTAATTAGCCGTACTACCATGGATTCTGTTTGGAGGCGTATGTCACACTAATTCTGTACTTAGCATTTTGGGTCTTTACATTTGACATGTTCACAAACTGTACTGTTTTCTTTTATGTGCAGTTTGCATGAGTAAATCATCAAAGAGAATAAAATCTATCTTTAAGTTATGTTCCTATTTTAATGAAATTATAATTGTTCCAAAAGGCAGCAGCGTCTTCGAACTTATTTCTTTATCACTACACTTATCAGCATTTATTTGGAAGTTATTACTCTAATGTCAAAGTAACGTTACAAAAATAAGAATGCGTAATGTTCTTTTGAAAATAAACCAAATTCATTGCTTTGAAGTTGACACCCAGCACCTTTTGAGGAGCTGGCCATGTATCTTTAATTCTAGGAGCCTAAGTAATCCACAGAAGGAGTCCACAAGCGGCTCGGTGATCAGAGGCAGTGCTCTGCCATCTCTGGTCGCAGTGAGTGCCACCGCGAAGGTGTTGTGTGCAACCAGAATTTCCTGCTAACATTTCAGGTATCTTAATCTTACCTTAATACTCGTGAAACTGAGGAATAACAGATGAACTGCTCACAGTTTTGTTGTGGGAGGTTGAGAAGAAATCACACCCTCGTATTTGTTTGCTACGATATGAAAAGTAGTTTGATCTTACTTATAAATGTTGGAAACATGATAGACGGGGTGCCACATCCTGTTATTGTTCGAAAAGCTCTTGACTGTGGTGGGAGCATTGGGAGGAAAAAAGGAAGTAAAACTGCCATGTACTTGAAATTATCGCATCTTTTCAACAAAGGAAATGAAATTTAAACTGCATGTAACTTTGAGCCCATTGTGGGAAGCATACAGGGCATCCTCTTGATCTAGATGTCTGCAGCCTTGCCCATGGTAGGAGGTTGGAACTAGATGATGTTTCAGGTCCCTGCCAACCAAAAACATTCTATGATTCTTTTCTTTAACTATGAATTATGGTCATCATTTCAAGGAAGAATCATGAAAACTGTGACAGAGGGCAACTGAGGAAAAAGAAATATCCACTCTTTACTGTCTCCACTGTATAAAAAAAAAAAAAAAAAAAAAAAAAAAAAAAACAAAAAAAAATCTATTCTGATTTTACATGTAGATATCCAAGTAAGCTTTTTCTTTTTAAAATGCTAATATAGGCTGGGCAAATAAAGATATGAAGATACTACACTGATGGAAGTAGATGACAAGTGTTAGATGAGTGGTGATTTCAGCTACCGAAATTACAGAAGTAATTTGCCTAGAGGCAGATACAAACATTTTAATTGGTCATCATAAATGATAATGAGGAGAAAACACGGTGAAATTAAGTGCATCCTAATAAAGTAAGGTATGTTAAATTGTGCTGAAGGAAACTCCAGCAATGCTTCTTGACATGATTAATATACTCATGACAATGTGTCTAATGAAGGTTGTTTGCATTTATGCGCTGCCTGTTGCCTCCCTCAGTAGAGATAATTTGGACTGTGCTCATTTACATTGCAGAGCATGAAGTGTTAGATAGCTTACAGTAGTATTTTCCTTTTACATTTATTTTTATCCGCTGTGTCAACAGTCATGTAGGTAGGATTTACTTAACCAGCCTCATATAACACTGAGTAGGGTAGATATGGATGGCACCATCATGAAAAAAAATCGATTTTCAAAGTTTTTTATTATTTAATTAAGGGAACATTTCTTGTCCTTATAATTCCTGTTTTCAGTCTGACTCTTTTTTTTTAACTAACTCCCAAAATTTATAACCATGACCTTTCTTGCTTTTCACTTTCTTTCTCTCCAAAATATTTTTCTGAATGATAAGCCCATGAAAGAACATGTATATACTTAGTGTGGAATTTCTTGGTTTTGCACATTGACTCTTCCCTGGCTATATTAACTCTCTAACAAGCTTTAAACCTTGCTCAAAGTCCTGTCCATCATCTGTTGTCATTTTTGTAATAACGTATGTTTTTCCAAGCACTTCTTCCTATTCGTTTTTGAGGGGAGGGAAAAAGTTTTTAAATAAACTACAGGTAGCAGATTTAATCTGGAAGTGAATATTTAATCAGAAAAGTGTAGTGATTATTTTAAATATCCCTAGCACACAAAGTAGGGAGCTGGTACTATTTGTTGGCTTTGGCCAACAGGCCTGGTGGTGCTCCCAGCTTATGATTAATGAGCTTAAAGGATAGCATTGTGCAGCTCAGGGAGATCAGTCAGCACTCAACTGAGCAGATGAGCTTCAGGAACAGGAGCTGTCATGTAGATGGCTTCAGAGGAGTAGAATTGCAGGGAAGGAAGTTTTCCTCGTGTAACTCCTGCCTGTGGTGAGCTTAATGTATCAAATGCAAGCGTGAGCTGTTACACATCCATCTACTGCAGTCTGTCCCCAGGTGGCCTGAATACTGTGATGTGTGTCTTTTGAGCTACTCATAAGGCAAAAGTTAGCTTGTGTTTTCTTTTCGCTACCTGAAAAGTTCTCTCTTGTTTTGCAGCAGGCTGCTATTTGCTTGGTATGTAAATAGTATTTCTTTCCCAGGATCTGAACTGCTCATCCTAGGCCATTACAGAGGCAGGTACTGTCTAATAAATCCCTGGCTGATAGTTTTTAGAAAGCTGCTAATTTGTTTTGTTATCATTAAAAGTGAAATGAAAAATCACATCCAGGTCATACATCTCAGGTTCTCATGAGGAGAAGAAGGAGACAAGTGGAGAGAATGAGCCTTTGGCATTAGCAGCAAACACAACAAATTGCCTTTCTGAATAAATTGCAGAAATGAAACGGAGAGAAAGTCATTACAACTTGTTAACTATTTCCTGTGGAAAAAGTACTGTTTCACTTCTTATACCAACCTTTTCCTCTGATCCTAGGATACATTCTGTGATTATTTGTTATTTCAAAATGTTTATAATGTTGTTATCAAATGTTTTGATCTCACTTGGGGTAAGTAGTAAGAACATCATATTGCTCGTGACTGCACTAAGCAAGATGCTCCTAAAGGTTACATAATTTGTATATAGTAGAGCTATCTAGTTATCCATAAAATGCCAACAAACATAGTCAGCATGGCTATGATTTCAAAACCAAGCCAATATTTCAGTTTTCCTGTTTTCTGTATCCCTTTCACCAGAGTTATTTTAAAGAGCTAATGTTTTGGTGCAATAAAAGAAATAGACAATCCTTGTAAATGAAGAACAGATGCTGTGTGTTTCACTGTACAATAGGAACATTTTTAACACTTGATGTCAAAGTAGTAAGGTCACATTTTGCGACTCATGTCTGTGAATACATAAAAGGTTTCATTATGCTGTCTCTTCCAGTTTACCCAAACCTTTGCTCTAATAGGACTTAACTCCTTTTTTTTTCTGTAAATTATACAGTGGTCTCCTGCATGCTGTGTAAAAGTTGTTATGCAGGGATCTGGATACTGGGGTGTTGCATTGCCTCCTCCTACGCTGGGGATCTTGTCTGCCTAAATGTCTCTGCTTTGGCATAGTTAAATTGGTATAAACACAAACGTTTAGAGAACTTTCTTTTGATATTTGTTGATTTATTTCAGTTCAGCACATGTTGCTTGTGAAAAGAGTAATAGTGTAAAAAAGTGTGAAAGTTTAAAAAAAAAAAAAAAAAAAAAAAATGTTCTTTCTGAACCAATACAAAGACACTTAGAATTTTGCAGTACAGTTTTAAAAACTATTTAACTTAAGCTAAAGCAACTTCTGTAATCCACGTTTCCCAAATAAGAGATCAGAACATGATTTAACCAGTTGCTAGTCACCATCTCTTCTTCTATCTTAAGAAAATTTGAATGTAAAGGACTGCAGTGGCTCCTGACATGTTTCCTCTTCCTCTTCCTGATCATGTTTCTTCTTCCCTTGTAACTCAAAATTGCACTTCTTTCCTCAGAAGCCACTGTCATACCTAGAGCCTCGTAGTGGCTCATTGTCAGCAGTGAAGCTTTTGCCTAAATATTTTCTCAATTTAGATCTTCTTGTGGTCGAAAGTCAATGAAATGAGCACTTGTGGGTTGAGTGCTGCCGTAAGGCTCCATCCTTAAAGATTTTGCTACCTTCCCTTGACAGCAGCAGCACTGATTGCTGTGGCTGCTGGAGCTGAAGAGCTGGTGTGAAATGTATGCTTCAGATGCACTGAGTGTCTACCAAAAGTGAACAAACAGCCAGAAAGTTGAGCATGTTGGAGTGCAGTTTTACGTTACTTGGGAGGGGGTTTGGAACCAGATGATCTTTAAGGTCCCTTCCAACTTAAGCCGTCCTGTGGCTATGATTACACCACGTTTGTTTTTCAAACAGCATGTGTGGAATGTCCTTGGGGTTTGATTTTGAGATTGTTTTTTCCTTCAGAATTCCAGTGGAAAATTAAATTAATTGCAAAAACAGTGCTTACTAGGAGGCAATTTTGTGGGGCTAAAGTAGAATCCTGAGGAGAGACATTGAATGGAAGAAGGGTATCAGCCCTCTCTGAGCAGGTCTTGCCTTGTGGAGAGCTTGGACTTTGTTCTCTGCCATAGAAAATGCTTTATGTAGAAGATAAAAGAGTTTGGTTCAGGGATTGCTTTTGACCTGAAATGCCTTGCATCCAGAAACTGCTTTTATTTTTTCCCTCATTTTCCCTGGGAACTCATTGCAGCCTAGCTGACCGGGCATCCAGCAGGCAGCCCTTCCTTCATTCCTGTCCCCTCTAGCATTCCTTTGCTTCACAGGTTCTGTGGTGTTGCCATATCAGTGTTCAGCTAAGCAGCAGTCAGCATCCATGCTGCTGAGTTGTGCTGTGATTAACTGTTGAACAAATTGCACGTAGTGCAGTGGTACTTACGACAATCTAGAGAGAAAAAACATCACCATGATATTGCGTAGACCTGCATGTAAGCAACATTAAATTATGTTTATTGATGCTGTTTTGACATTCCACAAGTAAGAATTAAATACACTAGTCTTTCTCCTTCAAAGTTGGTAGTTCTCCTCTCAGTCTTACATTTTGCTGTACATTAAAGGAAATGTTTTGTTTTCATCTGGTACTGAGCAGCTTGTGGACACTGAACAAACCACCCCCACCCCACTTCACGGTATGGAAAGTACAACTGCACTGCACTTCTGAGCATGGTGTGTTTTACCATGCAAAGATGGAGAATGGAAATGTCATCTTGTGCATCACAGCTTGCTTCTCCTCGTTGGAATTCAAATGAGCTGGCTCAAAGTATCATGTCTGTAACTGGGGCTTTGTAACAGCTCTAGTCCTAAGTGGGAATGATTTTGGTACTGCAGTTTGTATTGAGGCTTTATCCAAAAATAACACAGGAAATGCAGCGCACAATTACTGGAGCAAAGCATTTCTGGCAGATGTCTGTGGCATGCTCCAAATCTGAGGGCTGGCTTACATTTGTGTTTCATTTAAAAATGTGGTCAAGATTTTTGGTAAGTGCTGACTGCGACTCTGCTCCTCATCTACCAAGCAGAGGGGGCTGGAGGGGAGCTGCAGTCTGTAGTTAAAGAGGATTTATAAATTTGCAAGTAAAATTATCTTGTATTAGTGATGTCTTCCTTATACAAGACGACGGATAATAAATTATTAACCAAATGAGGTAAGTAATTTCATTTCCTGCTATTTCCTGCTGTCTGGAACAAGTAATTCAAAATGTGGGAGTTTCTAATTTCTCAGGAACAAAATGCCATCTAGTGGTAACTGCTCAATATTTTTGAGTAAATGAGTTCTTTTTATTATCAAAAAGTTTTTATGTATTTTTCTGTGCCTGAGAGGGGCAGAAGAGGCTGGGGAGCAACACCTATGGGGCAGCACTGTCTGTCTCTGTGCTTCTGGAAAGCTCCCTCCCTCCCTTCCTCTGTCCTGCTGCAAGTAGCTGAGCTTTCCCCTGCTAAGGATCGGATAAGCTTCCAAGCATAGCTGGCAGGCTGCGTCACACTGTTACCCAATGGTAGCATGCAGCACTTCTGGTGTGGCTGATGCTATATGAGGAGATGCTGGAAGCCACTTCTGCATCTCTCTCTGGGCAGGGAGCTCTCAGGAAAGGTCTCTGCCATGAGCCAGCCACAGCTTTGCTATTACAGCAAGAACAAGGAATACTTTTTTCCTCAAACAATATTGAAATGTATTTGTGACCCTAGTCTGGGGGCTGGACCCCTCGGTCACACTCTGCCTGAGCCCACCCAAGGGGGTACTCCCATTCATCTGGTGGTTTTGCTCTACATCATGATAGGGTTTTTCTACTTCTGTTTATTCATCTGTGGTATGTGGTGGGAGTGCCCAGCAGGAGCTCGCGTCTCCTCGTGTAGCAGAGGAGCGGGGCCTGGTCGCTGGCAGGGCTGCAGGTAGCCCAGGGCTCAGAGTTCCGTGTGGGAGGTGAAAAGTTCATTTGAAGCAATGGGGTGGAGGAAGAGAGAGGATTTTCTGCATTAAAAGGGCATTTTGTCCTCCTTTTTCCTCTTTGTTCTATGCTCATACTCATCTGTTTCTTTGCCTCTGGTAAAGATTTTGTGGATACAAAAGAAACCACATTAGAAAAAGCAGGCAAATGGTCTTTGCTGGGCTCCTGGCGGTAGCAGCTAGTGAGAGCCAAAGTCCTCAGCTCCAAGGGATGCGGGCCCAAGCTCCATGCCATGTCTTGTACCCACATGAGCTCTGCCATTGCAGTGCAAAGGTCCAGCAGGCTTCAGCTGCAGAGCTAAACTTCATCCAGGTGCCACTGCCAGCACTGGGGAGGTCATCACTGGCTTGTGTTAGTCCCTGGGAACTTCACCTGGAAGGTAAGGGCCAGAATTCTAATGCAACTCCATCTTCTATGAGTGAACTAGGGGATCAGAGTATAGGATGCTAGATACGGGGCTTACATGTAGCATAGTGCATTGCTTTGGCCTCTTGGAGCAGAAACCCACTCATTCTTTTGCAATTATGGTCACACACAAACCATCACAATGAAAGCCAGCTTTCCCTGTGTCTTACAACCACCTTGCTTTTCTCATGCTGCACAGAGTTGTCTAAATAACCAATACATTTTATAGTCCTATCAAGAGAATCAATAACATGCCAAGTCTTAGTAATTGTTTCTGGCACTGCCAATTTAGGACCTGGATATCTGCTAATTTACTTCTGCTTTGTGAGGTACTTTCCACATGTCTTAGCTGACAATAAGCAAAATGTTCACGATCAAGGGATGCATCTATTTTATTACTAAAGAAAAAGGAAATAACATTCATTTTTCCCCTTTCCTTGCCCTCCTCTCCCCAGCAAAATGGTGACATCAGTTATGGAAACCACATAATAAATTATGCTTTCTGGCACAGATAAAAGGGCTTCAAAGGGATCAGATAATTCTGTCCCTTCATAAGGAATCTTACTGCTGCAAACTTGCAGTTCACTATAACTATTTTGGGACTGGGAGATCAATTAGTAAATTCTGAAAATCTCCAATCCTAATTAAATCCCCCACTATTACTTCCAAGAGTGGTTTGTCTCCTCTTTAGGAGTAATACTTGATTTAAACAGCTTGTTTGTTTAACAGAAGCTATTGATCCCTTCAATAACACTTTAAAATCATTATGAGAAAAACTTTGCTCAGTTCCAGCTCTTTGAAGTTGTTTTAGTTAATGCCATCTCCCTGGGAGCCACAAGAGCTAATGCGGGACTTGAAAGTTATTTCCAGTGTTACTCTATGCTTGTTGTGCTCTGCTGTTAGCCTGACTTCTTGCAGAGCTGCCTGTGCTATGTGCAGCAAAGCTGAAAGCTACCGATGGTGTGTTTGCATTTTTAGCTCGGTTTGAAAGATTTTATGTTCTCCTTTGAAAGTCTTTGGAGTTGAGTTGGAAGAAACCTTTGAAGGCCATCCAGCCCAACTCCCCTGCAATGAAGAGGGTCACCACATCTAGATTAGGTTGCTCAGTGCCCTGTCCAGCCTGACCTTGAATGTCTCCAGGGATGAAGCATCCTCCACCTCTCTGGGCAACCTGTGACCACCACAGACCCTGATAAAGAGTCTCTCTTTCCTTCTTATAGCTCCCCTCTAGATACTGAAAGACCAGAGCTTTCTCTTCTCCAGGCTGAACAGCCCCAGCTCTCTCAGCCTGTCCTTGCAGGGGAGGTGTTCCATCCCTGGGAACATTTTTGAGGTTCTCTTTAGACACACTCCCAACAGGTCCATGTCTCTCTTGTACTGAGGACTC